GAGACTGAATTTGTACGATCCCTTGTCGTCGTGTGTGCAGGTTCTGGTTGTTGGCGTCGGTGATTACAACTTTGCGCTGAAGTTGATGTTCCTGTTGAACGAAGCGACCCGAGGAGCACATGTGTTTTCCGTAGCAACTGTCCAAGAACCAAGTGTCTTTCCCAGACGGCTCGCTTTGGGCGATGGCTGCATACGTCGGGTTGGGCTCCAGTGATTCGCGGCGAGGAGTGCTCTCATCAAGCTATTCTTATGGTGAGTAGTGGGGTGGTGATCCGGTGATGCAGAAGTCTGTCATTCTTGTCATGCAGCTAACAATATTTCTTGTTCCTTGTGCAGGTTTTGTCGTTGAAGACGTTGAAGACTGTACTTGATTGGTGGGATGCGCCTGCGTAGAAGCTACTTGATTGCTTGAGGGCCGAAGTTGTCGTTGTGGCGACGTCGACTGCTGCTGATTCGGGCAGTGTGTGCAAGGATGTCCGGACGTCTTGCAGAGGTGATAGAACGGTGGGACGTATTGTTGAATCTGACGGTTGTTTTGTCGATTGTTGTTGTTGTTGTAGCGTCGTTAAGTGTGAAACGCGAATTCTGGTGCTGACGCTTTCTTCTTGTGTCGTTCTTCGTGCAGGTCCACATCTTGCTGTTCAGCGTGAATTTTGGCGCAGAGGGGCAGCAGCAGGGCAGCAGCGGAGGGTAGGGGAGGGGCAGCGGCAGCACGGGAAGCAGAGCAGCAGACCGGCAGGACAGCAGCAGAAGCAGCAGCAGCAGAAGCGGCAGCAGCAGTGGCAGCAGTGCGGGAAGGGAGGCTAGGCTAGGCGAGATGTAGCTGCGGGTGAGGTATGGTACTAGGTAAGGTATGGTAACATGTGTGGTATGGGTATAGGTGAGGTATGGTAAGCTGATCCCCTCCTCGCTCTCTCTTCCCCCTTTCTCCCTGCAGGCTGAAGGTGGGAGCACTGGAGCAAGGGCGGGAGAGTGGAGTCCACCCTCTCTTTCACCTCCCCCACGCTCCCTTTTTCCTTCCCTCCCAGCAGCACCCTGCCTGGACCACAGAGGAGTCTCTCCCTCCCTTCATCCCCCCTTCTCTCTCCACTTCCCAGCAGCTCCAGCATCATGGCGCTCTGCACGGCTGTGGTAGGTAGAGGTAAGTACGCATGGGGGTGAAGTGTGGGGTGGGTGGGAGGGTGGGTGGGAGGGTGGGAGGGTGGGAGGGGGCGTGGGAGTGTGCAGGGAGTTCACTGCCTTAGGGGCAGCACCCTCTGGGGTTGTGTCTTGTGGGGTGGGGTGTGGTGGGTGGAATCTTTGCTGCACGGCACTCGGTGCTCAAGTAACCGATCTGGCGTTCAAAGCTTAATGGACACCGTCAGAGCTGACCGGCCGGCGGCTCTGGGTCGCGTCAGCTCTAGCTACGTTAGGGGTGGGATTTGAGTCTTGGGCTGGAAACAATTTTCCACTACCACTCCTCGCTCCACAAGGGACCGCCTCTGGGGTTGCTGTTTCCTTAAGGAGGTGGGCTCTCTGCTACTCCTACTGCTGGCAGGTAATGGTGGGGATGGGCTGGGTGTGTGAGTGAGGGAAAAGGGGGCTGAATCCCCTTGGGTGGGTGAGTGAGGGAGAAGGGGACTGAATCCCCCTGGGTCGCTGAGTGAGAGAGAAGGGGACTGAATCCCCTTGGGTGGGTGAGTGAGGGAGAAGGGGGCTGAATCCCCTTGGGTGGGTGAGTGAGGGAAAAGGGAGCTGAATCCCCTTGGGTGGGTGAGTGAGGGAAAAGGGGACTGAATCCCCTTGGGTGGGTGAGTGAGGGAGAAGGGGGCTGAATCCCCTTGGGTGGGTGAGTGAGCAGAAGGGGGCGAAATTCCTCTTGGGTGGTTGAGTAAAGGAAAAGGGGGCTGAATCCTCTTGGGTGGTTGAGTAAAGGAAAAGGGGACTGAATCCCCTTGGGTCCCTGAGTGAGAGAGAAGGGGGGACTGAATCCCCTTGGGTGGGTGAGTGAGGGAGAAGGGGGGACTGAATCCCCTTGGGTGGGTGAGTGAGGGAGAAGGGGGCTGAATCCCCTTGGGTGGGTGAGTGAGCAGAAGGGGGCGAAATTCCTCTTGGGTGGTTGAGTACAGGAAAAGGGGGCTGAATCCTCTTGGGTGGTTGAGTAAAGGAAAATGGGACTGAATCCCCTGGGTGGGGGAGTGAGGGAGAAGGGGGCTGAATCCCCTTTGGTGGTGAGTGAGAGTGATCTGGGACTGAACCCTCTTGTGTGGTGAGTGGGAGAGAAGGGGGACTGAACCCCCTTGGGTGGTGAGTGGGTTAAGGGTTATGGGTGATAGGTTATGGGTAGGTGGGTGATGGGTAGGTGGGTGATGGGTAGGTGGGTGATGGGTAGGTGGGTGATGGGTAGGTGGGTGATGGGTAGGTGGGCGGTGATGGTTAGGAGGGTGATGATGGGTGATGGTTAGGTGGGTGATGGGTGATGGTTAGGCAGGTGATGGGTGATGGTTAGGCAGGTGATGGTTAGGTGGGTGATGGGTGATGGTTAGGCGGGTGATGGGTGCTGGATAGGTGACGCAGAGTCAGTTGGGCGTGGGGGGCTGGTATGATCCAGGGTGGGCTGGGTGGTCAAGTAGGAGGTGACGGGAAGGTGATGGGTGTGATTGTGAAGAGTGGCATGGGGGTGAATAAATTCGAGGTATTGAAAGGTGAACTCAGTGAAGGGTGAGAGAGGAAGGATTGCAAGAGTATGGCCGAGACAGTGACAGGTTGGTGAGATTGATGTAGGTCCGGAGAGATGGCTTGGGATGAGGCAGGCTGGGCTGAATAGGGCTGGATGGAAATATTGTGCAATGGTTGAGGGAGGATGGAATGGGTGAGGTAGGGTGGAATGGGTGAAGTAGGGTGGAATGGGTGAGGTAGGGTGGAATGGGTGAGGTAGGGTGGAATGGGTGGGGTAGGGTGGAATGGGTGAGGTAGGGTGGAATGGGTGGGGTAGGGTGGAATGGATGAGGTAGGGTGGAATGGGTGGGGTAGGGTGGAATGGGTGGGGTAGGGTGGAATGGGTGAGGTAGGGTGGAATGGGTGGGGTAGGGTGGAATGGATGAGGTAGGGTGGAATGGGTGGGGTAGGGTGGAATGGGTGAGGTAGGGTGGAATGGGTGGGGTAGGGTGGAATGGGTGGGGTAGGGTGGAATGGGTGAGGTAGGGTGGAGTGGGTGGGGTAGGGTGGAATGGGTGAGGTAGGGTGGTGCGCTAGTGAAGGATGGGTGCGGATATAATGGGGATCATGGGCAGTACCTGGTCACACAGGCTCTGCTACAGCCGGCAATGCAGCTGGCAGTAGTAGAACAGCCGACCGCAGTGATATCAGCTACAGCCGGGCAGAAAGCCACGTGGGTTTCTCTCTTGTCCTGCTCATGGACCATGGACATGTGAACTCAGTGAAAGGTGATGTGAATGTGCTGTGTGTTCTGAATGTGTTGTGTGTTCTGAATGTGTTGTGTGTTCTGAATGTGTTGTGTGTTCTGAATGTGTTGTGTGTTCTGAATGTGCTGTGTGTTCTGAATGTGTTGTGTGTTCTGATTGGTGTGTTCTGGATGGTGTGGCATGGCGCCTGCAGAGAAAGGATGATGGGTCAAGGAGTGTGGCAGAATTGGCACTTCATGTACTCTGTAATCTCTCTTCAGTCAAACAGTTTTATTCTACTGTTTAATCTGGAATGACTAAGCAGCCGGCCCTCTGCCTCTCTCTCTCCTCTCTCTCCCTGCCGCCCTTACTGCGGTGGGGGGGAGGAGGGCAGGTTGTGGGGGTGGGGAGAGTCCAACTACAGCATATCTCCTTTCCTCCAGCCTCTCCTCTCGTGTCCTCCTCCTCTTGTGCTCTCTCCAGTTTCCGCTGCGCTCCCTTTGTGCACCACCAGGTTCCTCCTCCTCAGTGCACTCCCCGCCCTCCGCCAGTTGATTTTGCTCGCTTGCTGCAAGACAACTGACGAGCTACCATCAGCCTTCGCCTTCCGTTTTAGCCCTCCTGCCCTCCTGCTGGCGTTCACAGGTGCTGCTGGTGAACCACCGCTGTTTCTCGGCCTGTTGCAGCCACAGCAACCGCTCTCAAGGCAACCTGCCGCCAGTCTGCACTAGCGATAGCCGTAGGCAATTAAGGGGGTGTTTTTAATAATTTATTGCATATCTTATAACTGTCCCCAGTTATATATTAGCTACAATTGCTGATGGTGTACCCTTTCCCTTTGCCTTGCCTATTTGTATTGTTCCGATTATAGTGGAACCCCTCATTTACTAAAACTCCTCGACATTCTTCCCCTAGTCTCCTAAAAATCCAGATTCTATCAGTTACACTAAGCATCAGACTTCATCACGTACATCACTGTTCACGGACACGATCGTTCTTCACCCGTTACTGGTTAACCGTTACTGCGCGCTAGTTTTGCACAAAACTTATACTGCTGTACAACGGTAGGTCGAGTCAGCCTACGCCTTGGGAATAGTCCGCAACTCACAGCCAGGCCAGCACTGCATAGGCTATCTTGCAACCACAACGTTACCGTCCCGTTTGCATATTTCGCTATTAATGTTCGCTCATGTCTTCGCCTTTGTTGTAATATTTTGACCCCTCAGTGCAATCTGAGCTTCACTTGTAATTTCTGTTTAAGATAGAGAGAATGAGATTTCAAGAAAGAGCCACTACAGACACTGTGTTGATGAACCCGCTACAAGGTTTTCATTTTGAAATTTGAACTTCGAAGTCGCCGAGGACAGAACTATTGAGATCAGCCTTTTCCCCCCGTCCTTCCTGCCATCCCATAAGGGAAGAACCTCAACCTTTCCCCGATAATTTCCTCGTTCGTTCGGTCACGCTCACCTCGTTTTGTACATTTCGTCGCCCATAAGTCTCCGCAAAACAAATAAGCTAACGTTGATTTGAACCTTCGTAGCTTTCGCACGTATTGCTCGTTACCTTCCAGTTCCCCCTTGACCTCCTATAGTAGTTCCTCAGCCACTAAGCACGATGTTTGAGGCGCGTCTAGTTCAAGGAAGCGTGTTAAAGAAGCTTCTTGATGCGATCAAAGACCTCGTCACTGATGCTAACTTCGACTGCTCCTCCACCGGCTTCTCACTCCAAGCCATGGATTCTAGCCACGTCGCACTCGTTGCGCTTCTCTTGCGAGCAGACGGGTTTGAACACTACCGATGCGACAGGTGAGGAACGAATAGGCATTTCTAATTGCTTCAACGTGGATTTTAGCGCCCATATTGGCCACAGAATGGGGTGTACGAGCTGACGTTTAGCAGCTGTTGTGCTGCAGGAATCTCACATTGGGGATGAATCTGGTGAACATGGCCAAGATGCTGAAATGTGCAGGCAATGATGACATCATCACAGTGAAGGCTGAAGACGACGGCGACACCGTCACCTTCATGTTCGAAAGCCCAAGTAAGCTTGATCCTTTCCCAACAAGCAGGTCTCAAAGTAGAGTGTCGAGTTTATCATGTGGAAAGGTAGCACCATGGATGCGGATCTATAATTGACAATCGATGGGTTGCTCGGTGGAATGATTGTTGATTATGATGTCTGCCGATGGTGTGTTGTTCACCAGAACAAGACAAGATATCTGATTTCGAGATGAAGCTTATGGACATTGACAGCGAGCATCTCGGCATTCCCGACGAGGAGTACGATGCCAATATCAAGATGCCAGCAGGGGAGTTCCTCCGCATATGCAAAGACCTCAGCTCCATTGGCGACACAGGTGAGGGATGTTTTGGTTTTGCTGTTTATGTGCGGGTGCTGATTCTGATCCCGAAGGTGCTTTTTTCCTGTCTTCAACACCCAACTTGTTGCACTGAGCTCCTAACACGTACGTCCACTTAATATTCTTGGTGCAGTAATTATAAGTGTGACTAAAGAGGGTATAAAGTTTGCTACATCAGGCGACATTGGTAACGCCAATATAGTCTGCAGACAAAATTTGAATGTGGATGAGGTGAGCAATTGACGTGCCCACTGTGCCCTTTATGAACTCGTCCATGGGGTCCTGTCTTAACGTTCTGCATATCTGCCGTTTGATTTTGCAGCCTGATGATGAAACAGTCATCGATATGAGGGAGCCCGTATCACTTACATTTGCACTGCGGTACCTGAATTCCTTCACCAAGGCGACTCCACTGTCTGGTGTTGTGAGACTGAGCATCTCCAAGGACCTTCCGATCGTTTGTGAATATGCCATTGCCGACATGGGCTACCTTCGATTCTATCTAGCACCAAAGATTGAGGATGAAGATGAGGCCAATTCATGAGGTATGTGCACTATCTGTCACCTATATTCATTGGGACGCATGCTCAGGCACGTGCTAGTGAGTATGGTGGGGGAGTATTCGTGAAGGGGTTGGTATACATAGTGCTTGAGAGGGAGAGGAAGGAGGGGGAAGAATAAAGTGGTGGAATGGTAGGCAGAAGGTGGATGGGGGTTTGGAGGTGGAGCTATTGAACGTCCAGTGTGCCCCTGGAGGGGGGGGGGGGGGGATTTGTACTGCTCTTGAGAAACAATTTGCAAGAAAATGTGACGGAAGGGAAGCACAGAAGAGATTCGAGGAGGTCAAGGAAGCGAGGGGTGGGAAAGGGAGCGGAAGGGGGAATGCTTGAGAGGGAGTTCTGCCATGAAGAGTCTTGTTAGAGTCTTGTCAAGCTTGTGGTATTGTAGGTCCAAGCCAAGGCTGATCATGCTTGTGTGTATTCTTATGCTTTTGCCTTGGTGTCGACAGGAAACAAGATCTCAGGAAATACCGTGTTACAACAAAAATGATTTGTGTTGCACATTTTGTAGGCCAACCTGTTCAGTGAGTTGAAGCACTTGGCGTTGTTTTTGTGGTTATGACCTTGGAATAGCAAGGTGTTGGATTGGAATGCTAATCAGCCACTGTACTGCATCAATCCCAATCAAACAAAAACCTCTGTTACCTTGCATAGGTGGGAGGGAGGAACAGGGCAGGAAGGACCACTGGATTTAGGGATTAACTGGCGTAGTTTATCATCAAGCAAGATTTGAAGGAAATAATTCTCTTATGGTGAGCATTTTAATATTCAGTGTGAATGTTCTGTTAACAGAAACCTTTATAATCAATTTTACTTACAACTGTACATACTAAAGCTAATGACGTGTATCGGCAGAGCCCCCCTCGGCAAAACTGAGGGTAGTCGGATGCTGCCAGGCCGAATGCTCTACCGTATACTTTCGTTGGTGAGAAAGACATTCAACATTTCCCCAGTCTCCATGTTCAGACGTTGAAACCGTCAACCTCGCCACGATGACTCTGCAAAGCCAGCTTCTGCACTCTGTTTCGCCGTTGAAGAAACAAGAGTGCAGCCTTCTATGGTCAATGTTATTTGCCATGGTTGTAGGATTTGCGTGCACCCTCGTCCTCGTAAGATTGCCAATTACTGATAAAGTCACAGCCATTCAGCAGCCCGAGACCCTTCCGACTCCAACGAAGAATGTAACATTCAGAAGAGCTAAGGCCTTCTATCTCAACGTTAAGTACGCGGATTTGAACTGGATTCAGAAGCATACATTGAAGTACCAGACAGATGCTGCAACCAAGAATTATGTTCATGACCTTGGAAGCCAGAATGATTGTGTGATGCTTCACTTGGCTCATCACAAAACAGGTAAGAGACGCTTGCAAACAATCAAACTGGTTCCACAACTAAGCTCGTAACGGTGCAAGCACTGCTTGGTTCTCTCGAATCTTCAGCATATTCGGAATGCGGACTAATATGAAATTCGTCAAAGGCGACATTCAAAGCTGCATCGATTCAGAATCCAAGATATGCCAGGTCCGGATAATGCCCGTTACGCTTGGACACAGAACGTAATACAGTTCTCTAACGTTTGTTCCAATCCTTTCAGATCAACAACGCGGCTTTAGGCTCTCTTAAACTTCTGGGTGACAAAAAATACAAGGCCATTATGACAGTCCGAGATCCCAGGGATGTTGTGGTCAGTGGATATTTCTATCACAAAACAACACAAGAACCCTGGGTGCATGAGCCACGCAGCGAGTATGGAGGGAAATCTTATCAGCAGGTGAGCACCTGACAAAGCAATCAGTTGAATAAGTTTCTAATCGCAGGAGAAGTTCATGCATGCCTTGGTCAGATGCTGAACAACGTGAGCAAATCCGCTGGCATCAACATGGAAGTTGACATGATCACTGGAAGCACTTGGAGGAACGACACACAAGGTGAGTTTGGAATCAGTGTCCAGATATTATTAACAACGAATAACCAAAATTGATGTCTGACGCAGGTGCATATGCAACTGTTCTGAAAGACTTTCTGAGAGTCAGAGATTCTCGGTTCACCTTGGTACGTTACGAAGACATCTGGTATCAAGAGCAAAGAAGGATAGGCTCAGCTTTTGCATCTATTGGAGCTTGGTAAGAAATTCTTGTTTTTCTGTTAGGCTTTGACGTTTCATATACTGTGATTCTCATTGTGCAACTTTTATCAGGTATGGATTTAGAAAGCTTGCTTTCTTATACTGATCATTTGGCATCGTTCTCATTGCAACTGTGCATCGTTCTCATTGCAACTGGCAAATTACAACATGCACCTCGAGCTAGACAATATAGATGCTAGTACATGACCTGATTCCACCTACCATAGCATTGTACTAGCTAGCCTGCATTATGCGTGCGTACTACCAATCATATGACTAACTGTCTGTCCTCCTGTTCCAGCGGCGTCGCAGATGTCCTCGGTGTCGGGGTGGGGGGTGGGAGAGTTGCATGAGCCGTTGGAAAATGAGAGACGTGGGTGGAGGGAAATGAGCTCCAACCCACGTTTTGTAGTTGGAGAAGGGCGTTTAGCGCGCTTCGACGATGCCAAATCTGCGTTACAGGCAGCTGCGCTTTCGAAATACGTAATTTTGAAAAACACTTCGTGTGTTTAAAAATTATCATATTTAGAAAGCTTGCTTTCTTATACTGATCATTTGGCATCGTTCTCATTGCAACTGGGGTCTCTGAGACATGGGCAGCGGGGGCTTTCGATGGCGGACGAGTGCCTCGGCATGCTGCGCTGAAGAAGGGGCGTATGCCAGATCTTGCAACTGACGGGAGGCGTTGACGAGGTGTTCGGCGTTGGGCGTGACGTACATCTCCTTCGCTGTGTCGCTGCGCCATCTGCCCAGTCGTTTGAAGATTCTGCCTGGCACACTGGTGTTTGCCGCGGCAGTGGCTGCTCCTTTGCGAAAGGAGTGAGTGCCCAGCTGCTGTTCTCCTAATCCGATCCTCCCGAACGCTTCTTTACACCAATTTCGGATCGTCGGGTATGATGGCGGCCTTGCTTGGCCACTTTGGGGTGAACCGCGTCCAAAGACTCGAATAAGTGGCCCCGCGGACTGCTGGTTGTACCCCGCAAGTTGGATGAGTCGTCGGGTGCAGCGGACGGGGCAAAAGGGGTCATGAGTTGCGGCGATGGGTATCCATGTGCCCCTTCCAGCTTGGTCCGTCTTGGAGTACGGAATTAGAATCCACATGACCTCGTTCTCGAACTGGATGTCTTGCCACTCGATGACGATGAGGTCCGAGTATCTTAAAAATCCGGTGTACATGAGGATGGGGATTAGCCCCTTTTGGAACTCTCCTGGGTTGTCGGATTGCAGGTAGCTGGCAGACATGTCGTGGACTTGTTGCAGCGAGACAGGCTCCTTCACTCGCATGGGGCGAGGGCAGTGCCTTTTTGCGAAATCGCGTACTTGAGTGGTGAATGGTCCGATCGTTGGGCAGATGCTCCCAGTCATGCGGTGTGCAAAGCTCACGGCTGAGCATGTGAGTTGTACCATGGACAAGGTGGCTTTGTGTTGGATCGCGTACACCAGGTACAGCGCGAGGGTCATGTCCGCCGTGGGGAGGAATGGGAGGTTCACCTTTGCACAAAAGGCTCGAAACTTGACCCAGTATGGCTCATATGTTCGGATTGTTGAATCGGCCCGAGACTGGGAGAGCATCTTTAGAAGCTGGACTTGTAGCTTCGGCAACACGTCTGCGCACAGGCGTATGGGCGGGTTAGTTGAAGACCACTCGTAGTGCAATGATTGTGCTATGAGGCAGTCCTGTGCCTGAGAATGCAGTGCGGTGCGTTCCTACTGCTAGACATTGGCTGCCGTGCGTCAGGGGAATGTGCGCTCTGATGTGCGGGGCCCAGTTTGGTGGGGAGGGTTGTAAGAGTGGCCACCAGTTTGCCCCCGTCCAGTGTCGGGCAATTAGGGTAAGTGATGCGTGGGTGCGTTGTGCGTGGTGGATGACTGCTGGGATCAGCTGGGGTGGTGGGAACGCGAAGCCATTCTCGGCTGTCCATGAGCATGAGAATGCATCAACCGCAGTAGCCTCTGGGTGAGGGATCTTTGAGCAGAATCGTGGCAGATGCGAGTTGCGATGGTTCGCGAAGAGATCGATGGAGTGGGGTCCCCAGCGGCGATCAAGGATTCGGAACCATGGTTGCTTCAGTGAGTAATCGTCATGGTCGATCAGTTTCGACAGCTCGTCGGCATGGGAGTTAAGCTCACGCGGGATCCATTCGACAATTAGTCGAGTGCCGAGCTCCATGCAGGTGCGAATGATGTCCTTGCAAGCGTTGGTCAGGTCGGGGGTGCGGGAACCGCCTTTGCGAAGGATGAAGAAGACCCCTTGGTTGTCCACCCTCACGAGCACGTGTTTCCGTCGGACCTTGTTCGCGTACGTTCGGAGGGCCCATAGGACACCTTCGATTTCCCGTCGGGTGCTGGACGTTGCGTGCAATGGTTCTGGCATGGCTGCACTGGCTTCTTCGAGTTCGCCAGGGAAGGTGAGCAGAGTGGCACCCCAACTGTGGGAACTGGCGTCCACGTGGATTACGGCGTCGTAACTGTTCCGGACGTGGAATGGTGCGCCGTTGAATCTGTCGAACTCCTCAAGCCAGAATTGCAGCTCCTCGGCCACAGACGGGGAAATGCTCACACTGCTTCCCCAGGATGGCGCGTCGTTGATCGCTTGTAACATGGCGTGGCTGAATGCGCGCGCCGTGGCACCTAGCGTGACAGCCATTGACGCGAGCGTGCCAGTGATTCTAGCCAGGTGGCGGACTGGGACCTGCCGACGTGCTTTGCTTGCGCCCAGGAGATTGAGAATGTGTGCATGAAGTGATGCTCGTCGATCGGTGCCAATGGAGAATTGTCCGGAGTTGGTATCCAGCTCGACGCCCAAGAATCGCAGGTGTTGTGACGGTGACAGCTGCGACTTTTTCGCGTTGATTACCAGGCCCGCCATCTTGAGGTCCGAGATTATCATCTGGCACGTTGCTTGTGCATGTGCCTTGGACTTGCATAAAAACAGGATGTCGTCCACATAGGGTACAACTCGGATGCCTTGTTCGCGCCAGCGCCTGGCTAGTTGTTTGATGAGTTGTGTGAAGACAAATGGTGCTGTCGCGAGGCCGAAGGGCAATGAGCGGAAAGAGTACGTGCTCCCCTCAAATTCGAAGCCGAGGAATGTCCAGCATGAGTGGTGTATGTCGATGTGATGGTATCCGGATTTGAGGTCGATGGAGAACATCCAGTCGCCTGTGCGTGCCAGGTCGGCAACGCGGCTTAGCCCTTCGTATTTGAATTTGGGGATGATTAGTTGCGCGTTCACTTTCCGGAGGTCGAGAATAAGCCTGCATTTGTCACGTTGCTCAACCACGTTGAGTGGGCTGATGCATGTTAGTTCCGCTGCTGGGGTAGCTACCGCCGCTCCGGTATCTGTCAGTTCGCGAATGGCAGTGCGTGTGAATGCCTCGTGTGTGTGCGCGCCGAGATGGTTGCGCTCGTGAAACGGTTGTGGGGGGTTGTGGCTCCATGGTAGCCAGTAGCCGTTGGCGATGACCGAGAGGATGAGGCTACTTGGGCACCACGAGCCCCACCATGCGAGGGTTGCGCGAAGCCGCCCGCGCATTTGCGTGACGGTCTTGTCTGTGACGGCGAATTCGTACGGATCGTCGTCGTCGAACACCTCATGGCATATTGCCGCTGCATGTTTGCGGAATGACAATGGAGCGGGAATGCGAAATGAGGTTCCTATGGACATGATTTCCAGCCTTCGTGCGTGAAATGGCGGTGCATGTGATGAATGCGTGCTTGTTGACCCATTCGAATACCATTTGTCACCCCTAGCATCCGCATTGTACGGGTTTTTTTTTTTTTTTTTTTTTCAATCCACCAACCAAGGTGCGGGTGTGAGTCTTTCCGCGTGGTCACGTGGCCACAACAGGAGGAGAGGGAAGGAACTCTCTCGTGTCCTCTCTCTCTCCCTCTCTCTCTCTCTCTGCCTCTCTTCATTCTCGCATACACACACACACCCTCTCTTTTGTTCTCACTCTTGCTCACCCAAGGCAATGGCTGCCCGTCCGATGAGTGCAAGGGCCATTGATTGGGGTCGTACGGTACATATCTTCGCCCCCTTTTTTTTTTTTTTTTTTTTTTTGCCTCCATCTCCCTTTCTCTCCTTCTCTCTTCTTCTTCTCGTTCATCTTCTTCTTGCTCTCACTCTCTCTCCCTTTTTTTTTTTTTTTTTTTTTTTCATCATGAGCCAAGATCAGAAATCGCTCCTTTAATAAGTCCGCCCTTATATGAAACGGGCCATACATTGCCGTGCTCCTAGCATGCCTTTGCCCCTACCGCATGGGCTAATACTAAGGGCCAAGAGGTTTGTAATTCCCTCCCCCGCATCCTAGGCCTCTAGCCTATCAATCACCCCTCACTAGGGCTGGCCAATCGCCATCGGTAACCCCTTTGGGTTGCCCACGGATTTTGCACATGACGTGCACCGTGCCACGCGCACAAGGCGCAACCGCTCAAGGCCCGCCCCTACACCACGGGTGCGGGACCTTGGCCACCGTTCCCGTTCCTCGGGCAGCCGCTTGCCACGTGACCCGGCTGGCCACAACGGAAGCACGCCCCACGGAAGCCATGGAAGCCACCCGTGGGCGGCGGTCCACGCTTTGGGGTGTATGCCGTCGGCCCATGCCCTCCAGCGCGGTGGGAACGAGCGTACGCGCCCTCCGCGCGATCCATAGCCGCCACATCAGCTACCGCCTGCTTGAATGGGCGGGAAGTCAGGAGACTCTTCTGTTGGTAGAGCTTGAATCGCTTTGCCACGCGGTCGTCGGTGTGGTCCTCGACTTGAAACATCACAAAACGCTCCGAAATGTAGTCGAGGGCGTTCATGACCATTTCGAGTCCGCCCGCCGTGTCGTCGTGCTGCAGCTTGTACTCCGCGTGTTTCAGGTAGGCCCTCACGTCCTCCAGGGGCTCCGCCTTCGCGCGCACGAACGCCTTCATGAAGTTTGCCGCCGAAAAGGTGGGGGTGGTGGAAGGAAGGGGGGGGAGATTTTCCATGGATGTGACATTTGCTGCGTTGATCGGAGCCTCACCAGCGTCGTCGTCAGAGTCGTCGGAGTCGTGGTCGTCGGCTGCGGCTTCGGGAACGCTGGTAGCTACCTCCTTGTTGTGGCGGCGTGTTGATGCTCCTTTCGCTCCCTTCTCCTTTTTCGAATTTTCGTTTTTAGCCGAAATTGATGCCGCCGGTTGTGTAGTTTCGGCTTCAATTGCGCTGGCGGGTCGATGCTGTAACAGGGACAGGAGCGCCTTGACTTGGTCCGGGGTCAACGTCTGGGTCAAGTCCGGGTCAACGGTCGCGTCAGACGAGGCGGCCGTACGGCGCCTCTGGCGCTGACGCGACTGCCTGTGGGGCGCGTGTGCCTCAGGCGCGTGCTCCGCGTCAGTCGCGTGTGGCGCCACGTTCGCCACTGGTGCCACGGGTGCCACTGGCGCGACAGGCGCCACAGGCGCCACAGGCGCCGAAGGGTGCTGCTGGTGCCGCTCGGCGTTTTTGTTGACCTCGAGCCCGCCCAGCAGCACGTCGACAGCTGTTGGGGCGGACGTTTCGCCGTCTGCCCGGCGCTTGTTGCGGCGCTCGCCCGGCATTTCCCGGGCGTTACGATCGGTGTCGGAAATATTCGAGTCGTTGACGACGGTGTTGTTCGCGCGGTTAAGTGTCGGCGTAGCAGCCATAGTCGAGCGGTTGTGGTTGAGAATGTCAGCTAATAAAGTTGAAGGTGAAACGCCTCTCGGTAGAGAGCGAGTTCTAGCCAGCTTGAACGGAAAACTAGAAATGAGCTCGAGGAACTGAGAGTTGCATGAGCCGTTGGAAAATGAGAGACGTGGGTGGAGGGAAATGAGCTCCAACCCACGTTTTGTAGTTGGAGAAGGGCGTTTAGCGCGCTTCGACGATGCCAAATCTGCGTTACAGGCAGCTGCGCTTTCGAAATACGTAATTTTGAAAAACACTTCGTGTGTTTAAAAATTATCATATTGAACAACAGCCTGCTTCTGAAGATCTTCGTCCAAAGTGCAGTGAAGGTTGGTCAGGAAAGTGCAGCGTACCGCTCTGTTGCAAAAGGGGTGCTTTCTGCAGACGACAGAGGGAAGGATCACTTCAGGAAGGGCACACCAGGAGACTGGAAAAATCATTTGACAAAGCAAAACAAGGGCTACATCCGTGAGAAGCTGGGGTCTCTGTTGGTGGACCTTGGTTATGAAAAGACCATGAGTTGGTAGTTTTGGTATTGTTAGTACAGTATTATTGGAATTTGATAGGTATTATTGGAGAATCTCGTACATATAAGTTCTCTCACACCATCAAGATAGAAACACCACTAAAGGCTACTGATGCTTGGATCCAAACAATGTGCCGACAAAGATTATATGACATCGCATCCAACAGGTGACATCTTCCATGATCAACACTCCAAATCATTGTTTTGGTTGAGAGAGCTCCCTTCAACAGATGCAGCATGCCTTGGCTTCTGAATCTTTATCACTAGTGGCTGCTTATTTCTTTGATTTGCAGGCACCTTCGTAACACCTGGGCTGTCTATGCTTGCTGAAGTGACTGTGTCTTGCGGTGCAGGATCCTGTGTGCATATCTCACCTGTGGCTTCCCTTGTGACATCCGTGCATGTGCCAACATCAGAGACACCAGGCACCCCAGTTTCTATGTGATGTGAAGAAAAAGTAGCAGGCGATACACTTGGACCAGCACCAGAATCAACCAGCACTTGGTCCTTCACACCTTTCATCGAGATGCCTTTTTGCCTGACTTGGTTGGGCCTGCCTGATCCCGCCTTTTCCACTGAATCTGGTCCCACTGTTTCTGCAGCGGCCTTTGTCCCACGTTTGGGTGCTGGGCTCCCCAGCTTCGGCTTCGTAAGTTTTTTTGGAGCACCAATCTGAACAACATTGAGTGAACCCTTCCCATTCGAATACACTTCCTTTTTCTGCCCCTTTTCTCCCACTCGAACAGCCAAACCAACTGGTCTTGTACCCTCTCCAGGTTCCTCTGCTCCTTTTTTTTCCGCATGTGGCCCTCGACTCTCAGCATCAGTTTTTTCCCTCCCTTTTCCAATATTTTTCACCACTCCTCTCACCTTCAGTTTCCCTGTCTTTACCACCGCCACTGCCACTCTGCCTCTCCCACTTACGCCAGGACCAGCATTTGCAGTATCACCATCCACACCACCAGGGTCAGCAACAGCAGATACAACGACAATTGCCCTTCCACCAATTGCCACTTTTCCTGCAGCTCCTTTGCCCAACGACAAAGCAACTTTAACTGCAGCTGTCTGTACACCCTGGCCTGATCTGGCATTGCTCTCTTGAGGTGTGTTTGTGACAGGCTTTCTTTTCACAGCAGCTAATCCTCTTCCTGAGGACCCCTGTCCTGATGCCGCCGCGTTGCTTGTACCCATTCGTCCAACACCCTTTCCTACTCCTGCAGCCCCCACCATCCCTGTCTTGTGACAAATTGTCGCCTTTGCAGCCACAGGCCTTTTTTCAACCGCTGTTCCAGTCTTGACTGGTATGACTACTTTGACTTCCTTGACCGTAGCTGGCAGTGCCTCGGATTGTGTATGTGCTAAAGCTGGGGGTGCACTTTGCCGCCGCTGAGCCGCCCTGTTCGATGCTGCTTTCTTGGCTTGGCTGGCCTTTGCGTCGACAACGTCTGGCCCTGCCATTGCTGCTGGTCGTGCTGCTGCTGCTGTGGCTACTGTTGCTGTTGTTGCTGGTGTTGGCGCAGGTGCATCCTCATCAGCACCACCGACAGCAGCATCAGCACACACCTCTGGGGCAGCAATACGTCGAGCACTCTCATCAGCAACAGCCACTGCTCTTTTCCTTTTCAGCACTGCTCGCATACTTTCTGCTCCACCCTCACCACTAACACCTGCCATCTGCACGCCTCCTCCAGCAGAATTCCTCACCACCCCACTCGTTCCAGCCTCCTGTCCCCCCAGCTTCCCGGTCTTCCCACCCGTGTCTTCTCCCACAGCCCCAGCCACTGCCATTACTGCCTTCTTCTGCACAGACGCCCCCTGCCTGGCTCCTCTGTTGGGTCCTTGATGAGAAGTTGATGGAGTGCCTGGGTGCATTTGAAGAGCCGAATGGGACATTGATAGACTCTCATGAATTGATGGAGCAGCAGGAGTTGAGGTTGCTTTCTTAGTCTGCTTCGCCTTGAGGACAGGTTTGAGGACAGGTTTGAGGCCAGGTTTGACTAAAGCCATCGAAGGAGGCTTGGCGGGAGGCCTGGCAAGAGGCTGGACGGAGGGCTTGGATGTGGGTTTGACAGGCCTTGACAAAGAAGGGCCAGTGGATGGGGAAGCTTCCTGGGCCGACGTAGCTGCAGCCGCGAGCTGCTTCTTTGCCTCAGAGACCTTTCCTGCGTCATTCTGCAGTGACAATGCCGGCCTGCTCCCCTGACGCAAAGGTGCCACCTTACCATCTACTGCTCCACCTGCTTTGGCTTTTCTTACAACCTCTCCACCATCTCTACGCCCACCGAAACTGCTCTTACAATGCTCCGCACATTTTTTCTCATCTCCCTTATTCCCACCCCCTGCATTCTTCCCATCCTCTTCCGCCTCCTCATCCCAATCCTCTTCCTTTCCATGTGCTCCTCCTACAGAAGCCACCACATTACCCAACTCCTTCAACCGATGCTGACGCCTCCCCTCCAGCCGCACATTCTGCTGCGGAACCACGTTATCACTTTCTTTCCCCTCCTCTTGCACCTCATCCTCCTCTCCACGCACCTGCCATTCACCTCCCTCCACATCCACCTTCTCACAGCCCACACCTCTTCCATCCACCACCTTTCGGCCTTTCTCAAAGCTACCTCGTCGCCTGTCATCCCTATCCTCCTTCCACTTCCCCTTCACAGAGGAGCCATTAATGGCAGTGCTCGGTGCAACTCTGACTCCATCTGTGCGGCTGCAGCCTGTCCAACCGTTCACTACTCCTTCATAAGCTGCTGCTTCTGCCGCTGCTCCTGCCGCTGCTTCTGCCACTGCCGCTACCGCATGATCTCCTGTTCTTCTCTTGTCTGCTTCATTCACCGCGTCTCCATTCCACCCGGCACTGTGACCTTCCAAACACATACTCCGCCCAACATCCTCCCCTTCTGCCTGCTTTCTCTTCAAGCCAGCCTGAAAGCGCCGCGCTAGCTTGGGGAGGCGAGCAAGCGGAGGCTTGAGAGCAGGTGCAGCACGAGTGGGGGAGCAGGAGGGAACTTTGGGGAGATGAGGAGAAGCCTGGAGACCCGTATCAGCAGCATCTGGGACAAGAGAACGGGATGGAGAGGCAGCAGCAGCAGCACAAGGAGTTTGGGCTGGAGCAGCAGCGGGAGAAGCATCACGGGAGACAGCTGCAGATGGCGATGCAGCGGTTGCAAAAAGAGGTTGTGCATCGGCGGAACGCACTTTGCAAGGTGAGGGATGCTGCTCCATCCGCCTCGCAGGGCTACATGCGGTTGTGACAACACCTGCAGACACAGCTGCTGATGAAGCAGCTGCTGCAGCTGACTTCAGTGCTGTTGCAGTGGTGACCTTCGCCTCGGTTTCTGTGCCTGGCACCAGAGCTTGCTGACCCTCGTCTTCCTGTCCGTTCAAAGCTCTCTCTCCTTGAACCCGCTTCCCCCCCTCTGCCAGCTCCTCTGCCCGTGCCTGCTCCTCCGCCTGCACCTTCATCTGTGCCTGCGCCTGTTCAGCAGCAGCAAGAGCGGCCAGGGACCGGCCATACACCAGAGCATAAGCCACTTCCAGCAACTGCGAGCTCAAACCATGCAGCCTCATTCTCCATTCCTCCACCTCCTCTTCCTCATTGCTCCTTCCTTCCTGTGGCAATTCCCCCCCTCCAATGTGCTCCAATACTTCACCTGCCTTCCTTTCAACAAAACTCGTACCAGTAACTTGCATCCCATGTCCTGCCTCTCCTCCCACACTCCTCCCCAGCACCTCCGCTCTCGCGCCAGACCCCGCGCCTTCCCTCGCAACAGCTTTCATCCGCTTCATTCCCAACGCTCCTCCCCCACCACTCACTCCCCCCTTCTTCCCTCCCCCTAGAATTTTGCCAAAAGGAAGCTCCCCTGAGGCCTCCCGCTCTAAGGCCTGGGCTGACCGCAACAGGGCTAGTGCTCGATCTGCATCGCTTTCACTTGCCTTGGCTTTAAGAAGGAGCAGATTGACACGAGGGGGAGTAAGTGAGGGGAATGGGGAGGAAGAGGGCCCAGCAGAGAACGGGGAGGGAGAGGAAGTGGTGCAGATGGGTTTGCCTGGAAAAGAAGGAGCACAAGAGGGAGTGGAAGGGAGGGACGCAGCAGCAGACCCAGCAGCGGGTGCACGAGTGGCTGAGATTGCGCCAAAGGCCTTTGTGCTAGCGCTGGAAGGAAGAGCCAGAGGCGATTGTGATTGCATGGGATTGTGGAGCAGAGCAGCGGCATCAGAGGCAGAAGAAGGATATGGTGCAGGTTGTGCGGGCATCCGGGTTTGCAGCAGTGGTATGGTAACTCTGAGCCCTGCTCTCGTCAATACAGGGACAGACCCTGCTGCTCCTGCTTGCACACCTCCTGCTGCTCGTGTGGATGGTTGATCCACTCCTTCCTTTCCCCCTGCACCTTCACATACTTTCCCGCCCATACCTGCTTCGTCCATACCCTTCCCAGCATCCCGCCTCCCACCTTCCTCTGCTTCCTTCTCCTCGTCTTTGCCCTCCTCATCCTCCTCCTCCTCCTCCTCCTCGTCCTCCTCCTCCTCCTCCTCATCATCATCTTCAGAGATCAAATTGAGTACCGAATCTTCACTATCACTTCCACCAACCGAGCCTTCTTCAGTTCCTTCCAAATCTCGTTCCTCTAACCCGATGTGTTCTTCTGCCCCCCCGTTATTGTCCTCTTCCTTGTCTGTCACAGCAGCTCCCTTACACAGTAGAGGAGGGGTGGCGGATGGCAAGTCGGAGAGTGAGAGCGGGTGCAGCCAGGGGAAGAGAGGCCAGGCAGAGACAGGGAGGATGTCTGAGAGAGCGCCAAGAAGGGCATGCGACCAGCACAGCATCGTGTGCACGTGCATTCGGTGGGCACAAGCAGCAGCTTGCCTCAAATAGGAAAGAGGAAGGGGGGTGGAGGGATGCAAAGAGGAGGAAGGGAAAGGGAAGTGGGAGGGATTATGAGGAGGCAGGGAGGAGGGTGCCGATGGCGTGTGGTGAAGAGCCGAGGGTGGAAGGGATGAGAACGGTAGTGAGGGTTGAGGTGCATCTTGACCGGGTGGGGTTTGGGTTATACATGTCTGGGTTGGGTTGGTGGTGTTGCACGGGGTAACTGGATGCTTGGAAAGAGGGCATGAAGGAGCCGGAGGGTAGGGAGGAGAAGGAGGGGAGGGAGCTCGAGTCCTGATTTTGGCAGCAGCTGACGCGAAAAAGTCGAGGTCACTCTTCTGAGCGTACAGCTTGAGAGCTGACAGCACGTGCCTGTGCGTGGGAACAGAGAGCACAGAGCAGAGCGGACACACAAAATGACTACGAGATCAAAGTGTAGACTCCACAAGGATTCACCATAGTGGCACAGCAGGAGCTGTGGATGAAGAGGTGTGGACGCGTGCGGTGCGGACTGTTACTTCACGCATGAGGCAAATGCAGCTGCACTCACCATTCTGTCATATCAAACCAGCTCCTCTCCTGCTCTTCCTCCCAAACCAAGTGCTGTGCTGCTGTGCCGTCCTTTTCACCATATCTAGCTTCCCCACCCCTGGCCACTGTCTCAACGTAAGCGACCCGGGACAGTCGGAGCACCTCGGCTGCCTCGCCCCAGATAGAAACATTGTCCAGGTAAAGCGTCAGTAGCCTGTCCCCTATTGAAGCTTCTACCGGCTCATTCCTGCCTTCTGCTTGCCGTAGACTTGTCAAAGAGCCATCAGCAGCGCCAGAAGCAACAGCAGCTGATGCGCCAGGAGCAGCAAGACCCAGCACGTGAACAGTAGCAGCAGTGGTTGAAACATCAGCGCCAGAGGAGATCGCAACAGCAGGATCAGCACATGGAGGGGTGGACTCAGCAGCACCAGCTACTGCAGCAGAAGGGCTTTCAGGTGGAGCAGCAGCAGAAGGAGCAGGAATCGCAGATGCAGCAACATCAGGCACAGGAGCAGGCGCAGATGTGGGAATGGCGCTTGCTGGTGGGGCAATGCCTAGTGCAGCAGAGGTGCGTTGAGTGGTTTGCTCAGAGGTTGGGTGTGCGGAGGCATGAATCGAGAGCACAAGGAGGGCGAGAGCTAAGGGCACTAGGTCCACGAGTGCTGTGGAAAACTGAGGGAAGGGCACAAGGGGAGGGAAGGCATGGAGAGAATGTACAAGTGAGAAACGGCCTTGATACCCCGTGTCCCTGCTCGGTGAACTGGAAACATGTATTGGAGAACGACTGAATCCAGTACAGCCAAGGCTGGAGAAAGGGAGACTTACCTCTTTGTCAGTCTTGAGAGTGGAAAGCGCCCCTTCCAAGGCAGCAACATCGCCGGTGTAGCAGCAGAGCCTGAGGTACATCATCAGGTACAATCTCACACTCGTCATGAACTTCCGAGAGCTCTCAGCCACCTCCACCGATGCCAACCCCACCACTTTCCTCCTCACCCGCGCCCCCTTGGACCCTCCTTTCGGCCTCGGGGCATGCTTCGTGTGAATGCAGATCTCCCACATGTTCATTGCAAATGCCACTTTGGCCTTCCGGAAGCAAAACCCGAGCTCTGATTTGGCACGCTCCAAGTCTCCAGGCGCTCCCCGCCTCAGATACGCCTTCGCCAGGCAGTACCTCCCCCTGTGGAAGTGCTTGAAATCGCCTTCTAGGCACTCTCTCATTCCCTTCTCGCTCTCCTGGAACAGATGCTGCCACACCAAGGGCCAGTGCTGCCTCAGCTGTTGGATATCAACCACAGGAGCGTTCTGCTTCTTCCCTTGCTGCTCCAGCTGTTCACCTTCCCCCTCCTCTGCTTTCTGCTGCTCCCCTTTCAAATCAGCTTCGCCTGCACCATGCTCCCCTGACTGCACACCTGGTTCTGCAGCTGCTCTTGAAGCTTCCACACCAGATGCATCTCCCTGCTCTGTTCGTCCCAACGAATCCCCTTCTTCTGCCATTCGCAAGTGCTTGTTGCCTGTGCCATTGGGAAACTCTCCGCCCTTGCGTTTCTTGACAGAGCTGGAATCCTGGGTTGACTCCACTTGGGTCGGCTGAACTTGGGTCGGCTCAACCAGCACCACATCATCATCGTCATCTTCTTCAACCTCTCCCCCAATTCCCCCACCACCACCACCATCACCACCACCTCCTTTCTCCTCATTTTCCATCTGCCTTCCTCTCAATCCGCCCTTCTGTGTCCCCCCCTCTTTATACTCCTCCGTTTCTCCACCCTTCCCCGCATCTGCCTCTTCTTCCTGCGTTGCCCCCTCCTTCCTCTCCTTGAAGCTCTCCATCTCCAGTACCTCATCGCTCCCATCCTTCTCACCTTCCGCTCCCTTGTCAACTCCCAACCTTTCAGCAACCCCCTTCTCCATCTCCAATTCCTCATCAGCCCCATCCTTCTTGCCCACTGCTCCCTTGTCAGCCCCCAGCCCTTCTGCAACCCCCCTCTCCACCTCCTTCTCCTCGTGAGCCTCTCCTCTACCCTCCACACCTTCGTCTTCTCCATTCTCAGTTTTTCTCTCTCCCCCATCTGTCACATGGCCATTGTCCCTCGCTATGCTCCCCTCCGCTGCAGTCACACCCCCTCCAAGTTTAGCGTCCTCTTCAATCTGTTGCAGAAGCTTGGCAAGCGCATCCTTGGTTTCACTATTGGACACAAGCGCCTGAGCACCACCCCGCACCATGCAGCACCCCGCCAAAAAGACCCACAAATAAGAGAGTGTGCGATTAAGTAAAATAAGAAGCAACATGATCGGGGGACATGAACCAGTCATTCTCATGCCATCATCACCATCCTTCCCTAAGTCATCATAATCACCACTCACCCGGATGTCATCATCACTCAGCGCAGTCTCCACACAGCTCCGTGCAAGCGCCTTGAGCCGTGAGGCATGCAGGCGGTAGGCTGTGTCCACAGCATTGGGGCGCAGGGAGACAGCTCGGCGCATCAAGGGGAGGGCGAGAGAGGCGGGCAGGTGAAGCTTCTCGGCCAGCTTGCCCTGAAAGAATGGGTACTGCCAGTTTGGGCTGAGACAGAGGGGGGGAGGAGGCGAGAGGGTGGTGTGAATGGGAAGTGGGTAGGGGGTGTTGGCACAACAGGAAGAGAAGAAGGGGACAGGGGGATCGCAGAAGAGGGGGATGGCAGAAGAGGGGGGTGGCAGAAGAGGGGGGTGGCAGAAGAGGGGGGTGGCAGAAGAGGGGGGTGGCAGCAGAAGTAAGAGCAGGCATGGATAGGGACGGAGCCTCACTGTCTACTTGCCTCATAACAACAGCTTTTGACAACTAGGCGCACACAAGGGCGCAACATACGAGAGTGATTGCAGGATGCGGAAGAGTTGAAAGGCCAGGCGGCAGCGGTTCAGCCAGAGGTCATCCTTGACTTGCGGGTGCCTGAGCCTGTCATAAGATGGCACCACGTTCTGAATCGAGTCATACACCACAAACGCCAGCAGCTCCAACACACTCACCACCCTCTTCCTCTGCTCCTCACACCCCTCCCAAACCTCACTCTCCTTCCGCCCCTCCCAAACCTTCCTCCCCTCACGCCCCGTCCACCCCTCCCATCTCGAATCCCTCTCCTCAAGCGCTGCCACTTCAAAGGGAAGCCGGCAGCCAGGAGTAGCGATAGCCTCTACCAAGCACCGCATGCACCGCTGCCTGTACCCCTGCAGCCTCCCCAACACCCCCTCCTCCGCATGCCATTCCGCAGGCCCCTTCATCTTCGCCCCATCGTTCAACATGAGGTCAGAGGCCTCATCATAGAACAGTGCGAGCTTGAGCCATGAGTCTGTGTTGCTGGGATGGTAGCAGAGGTCAGCGAGCAGAGGAGAAGTGACCTGCAGCACGTGGGAGTGGCCTTTTGGCTCTAGGAAAAAGCCTGGAGGCATGTGGTGGCCCATGGGGATGGGTTCTATGCGTGCCAGCATGGCGAAGAGCGGATTGTACACGTCAGCGTACGTGTCACTGTTCATGGCATGGGACGAGTCTGAATGGTGGGCTGCTGGATGGTGGGAGGAGGTCCAGTCAGAGAGGAACGAGTGGGGACGCAGGACTGGTATGCAAGACAAGAGGTCTGGTGATGTATCGAACGTGCTGGCACGATTGATTTGTTCTCCTTCATCACTCATCATCTCCTTCCCCTTCACACCAAACGCACCATCCTTATCCTCCATACTCCTCCTGCCCTCCTCCGCAACCCCATCCTCCCCCATCGCCCGCCCCCCTCCCAACTTCCCCTCCTCTCCCAACCTCTTCCGCTGCACCAGAATCCTCCCCGCCATTCCCCAGTCGTTTATTTGTGGATCATCCAAAAACGGCTCCACAGAGTGACGGGCGAGGATGGCAGGGGGAGGGGAGGGGAAGAAGGAGTGGATGGACGTCAGCAGCGGTACCAGCTTCACAAGTCGCTCGATCTGAGGGAAACAAGCAGTGGGAGTGCGAGGAGGGGAAAGGGGTTCAGAACGAAGGACGCAAACCACCAACAACCGAGAAGCAAGGATGGGCAAAAGGTGTGCGACAGGGAACAGTGACAACGCTTACAGTGAAGGAGGCAGCAAACGGTGCCATGTGCCTCAACGCTCGAGCGCATTGGTCCTTGGATTTCAACTCCCCAGCCAAGGTGTTCTCATGACGAACCAACCCTGCTGCTGCTGCCTCCTGCCCAGCAGCACCACCGCTGCTCTCCGCACCCACATCCACCTCAGCCCCTCTCAGCTGTACCCCGTATAAGCACAAAAAGCATTGGTCCATAGCCCCTTCAATTTCCTGCAGCGCGCATCTCTTCGCATGTGTATCCTCCACCTTCTCGCCCTGCCCGCTGCCAATAACTCTTTCCCCATTCGTTCCAATACTTGCTCTCACCAGACCAGCAGTGCTGCCAAGTCCAACAGCAGCTCCCTCAACCTTGACACCAGCAGAACCCCCACCATTGTCACCAGTCTTTTGCACGTCCCTCGCACTGCTGCCCCCATTAGCACCTAATCCACCAACCCCCTCCCTACCTTCTCCTCCTCTTCCACCCTTCAGACTTCGTACTCTTGGTTCCTTAACCCCCCCAGCAACAACCTTGGCTTTTCTACCCCCTGCATGCCCTGAGGGGGTCAGCAGCGACTCTAGGCTGGTAAGCAGCTGAGCAGAGAGGGCAAGAAACGCGCCTCTACCACTTGGCGCTCTTGCTGCAGCTGAAGTGGCTTCTCCTTGCTCAACCGCTGCTGCAGCTATGCTGCTGTTGCCACTTTGTCGGCAAGATGATGGTACAGTGGCGGTGTTGGGCGTGGGCGAGGGGGGTACGTCGGCGGAGGGGGAGGAGGAGGGTGTGGCGGAGGCACAGCAGAGGCCTTGAGAAGCAACGATGCTGTGTGCAACGGCACAAAGGGCCACCTGTTAAAACGGTGGGCGAGACAAAAGGGAGGATTGATCAGCAAGATCGCCGGGAGGCACGTCCATGTGCATCAAAGGGCATAAGCAGGAAGGAAACATCCACGCCCAAGGAAGCCAGAATTCCTGGAGATGAGTTCAATTGTGGCGTCAACTTCACTCATCTTAACGCCCACCTTATCAGTCGGATTCACAAACACGCGCAAGTGCTGCAGGCAGCAGAGCACCATGCATAGATCCACCAGCAGCCCCTGCCATGCCATGCCACCACCATCCCCTGCCACGCTGCCAGTATCCCATACCTTATCTGTTGGATTCACAGACACGCGCAAGTGCTGCAGGCAGCAGAGGGCCATGCATAGATCCACCAGCAGCCCCTGCCACGCTGCCACCATCCCCTGCCATGCTGCCAGAATCCCACTTCTTGCTGCTGCAGCACCCAAGCCTGGCTGGTACACCTCCCTTGACAGCTGGCTCGCTGGCTGTTCTTGTAACAAGCGGTGCTTGTAGAAGGCGAAATCTATAAGCACTGCCACAACTTGCTGCAATTCATCCAAGTGCTGTTCCTGCACCTGGGGGTATGGCAATGGAAGAACAAAAAAGTGAGACAGGATTTCAGTTTTTCCTCACAGATTGAACTTCCTTCCCCATCTTTCCGTTCCCCGTTCCCCGTTCCCTCCTACTTTTCTTACCTGCGAATCCAATCCTGTCCCAAGCGCCATGGCGACCGTCAAGTCCCTCAGCCCCTGCACTGTCTGCATCAGCTCCGCATCACAGCTCGCACCAGCATCACTTCTGCCACCACCACCAGCAGAGGCTTTCCCAGCAGCTGCAGCAGAGCCTTCCAAAGCAGCTGACGCCACTGGCGTTGCTTTCGCAGGCGCAGGGGGCAGCACTCCCATGCTAATTCTGCTGGACAGCAGTGCGAGGATGTGCTTGTAACAAACCAGCGTCAACGGCTGCTCCTCGGCCATTCCACGTGTGGCAGCAACAAGCCTCTTGAGCGTCTCCAACCACTTGACAGAGCTCTGCTCGCTCTGATGGCTGTCTGCATTCACCACTTGTCCACCATCTGAAACTGAACCCTGAGAAACCAAGCCTGGGAGACAGTAACTATTGCCCCTCTGCCTCCCAGCTCCACCGCCCATTCCTGCTGCCCCGTCCCTCAACAGCAAGGGCTTCATCATATCAATCAGCTGTTGCTGCTGCGGCGGCGGTTGGGGTAGCTCTTGCCCCGTCTCGCCCTCTACTGTCCCTGACAGCCCTGCCAGTACACAGTCCACATGCAGCTCACTCAACAGCTCTTCCAAACCCTGCACTGAAATACCCCCTTTGGGGCCCCATACACATGCTAAATGAGGCACCTCCACTGCTGCATGTGTTACTGCTGCTACTGCTTCAGGCCCGGCCGTGCCTGGTAATGTACCCGTTCCATCTGAGCGGCCTATGCTCTGCTCCGCTCTGCCCAGCGCATCCCTGCACCACGTGAACAGCTCAATCGCCCTCCCATGCTCGCCCCTCCGCATCGCCACCTGCCCCTGACTTGCTCTCAGCCGAACCCAGAACCCCACCTTCTCCCAGCCCCATAAACCACTTTGCCCCTTCCCCTGACCTAGCTCCTCCACCTCTCTGTCTGCTTCTTCTGGTGGTGCTCTCCCTCCTCCCACTCGGCTCCACAAATCCCCATCCACCTCCCACCGCACCCCTTCCTCGTCCATCTGCCCCTGCTCAGCCATGGCAAGGCAATGCACGCACTCCCTCTGCACCACCCCTCCCACTGCCTCCCGCCGCCCTCTGCTTTCGCCATCACTTTGCAACCCCTTCACCAGATAAATCTCCCCCAGATACAGCCAAACACGGGGAGAGCGGCCTTCCCACGAAGCTGCATGTCTTTCAAGCCAGAGGAGAGCGTCCAGAACGGAGGGTGTGAAGGCCCAGAGGGGAAGGTGAGAGGCTAAGTACTGCAGGACAAGAGAGGCCGCCTGGAGGAGAGGGAGGCGCTTGGGTAGAGCAGCGAGGAATGACTGCACTTGCTCCACTTCTGATGCACTTACTTGCTGGACCACACCCAACCGCTCTGCATCTCGAGCAGGGTCACGATCATCAGCAGCCTTAACTCCCTCTGACACACCACCACCGGCACCCGCTTCAGCACCACTGGCACCTGCTGCCACGCTCACACTGCTCCACACCTCCTCCTTGGAGAAAAACCGCACCTGCACTTGCTTGCGTCGCAGCATGTGCAGCATCTGTAAACCGTCGCACGCAACACCACCATTCTCCACACAAGCACTGACAACAGCAGCATCCACACCAATGCCATCTGCAGCAACACCATCTGTAACACTCTCCTTACCCTCTCCCTTCTTCCCCGCAACCCCCAAGCCATCCACATCACAGGCTCCTATCAAGCGCGACTGCTGCCTGAAGCAAGCACTCAGAATGTCAAACACACGCAGCCTCTTCGGTGGAAGGGGCTTTGCGCTCTGCAGCAGGGTGCTCTCCTTCCCCTTGGCCTCCTGCACCTGCATCTCCTTCATCTGCTGCCGTGTTCGCCTCTCCGTGCCCACAAACGACAACGGGTGTCTCATCCGCTTCCTTGACTTGGCAGGACCTGCGGGTGCTACACCATCAGGAGCTACAGCAGGAATGGCTACTGGATCATCATCAGCAGCAGCAGCAGCTACAGCAGCAGCGGTTACAGTATCATGGGATGTGGCAGCAGCAGCAGGTGCTGACACAGCTATAGCTGAGGCATCAGGGGCGGGTTCGACGGCTGCTTCTGTCAACGCGGCAGGCGTAACGACGGGCGACTCCTGAGTGGACATCGGAGTCGCATCGGTAGAAGTTGCTGCAGTATGCGTGTCTTGAGTCTGTGTCAGTGTTGTCTGCATCAGTGGTGAGGCTGCAAGTGGTGGTGTCTGATCGGGTGGTGCATCGTCTGCATCAGGAGGACCTAAAGCAGCTGGCAGCTCAGCTGTAGATGTGGGAGTGGGATCGGGAGGCGACTGTGAGCCCTCGTCCATGCTAAGATCAACCACAGCGATGGAGTTGGGTTCCGATAACGCAGTGACGCTGGAGGATGGGTCTGGCTGAGACAAGGCAGCAGGAGGGTCAAGTGCTGCTTCAGGCAGAGGCGATGCTGAGAGATGCGAGGCTGGAAACAGCTGGGGTATTGCTGTGGGTTCTGATGCTGCCTCAACTGGGCATAGTTTGAATCCGGATGCCATATCAGCAGAACAATCCCTTTCAGACAATATAGCCCCCGCAGCAGCGCAACTCTGGAGTTTCTGCTCCATTTCAAGCTCTTCATTATCATAATTCCTTCCACAACCGCCTTCGTCGCTCGCTCTGACAAGACCCTCGATGCCATGCTTGGGATCACCTCCTTGCGGGCTGGCCGCCAGCACAACTGTCACCAACACGCCAGCCACCGGCTGAGGGTACTCCAATCCCCGCCTTTCCACCGACCGCTGCTGCACCGTGCGAAACACGTGTACAATGTTCAGGATCAGCTCGGCCCAGGAGCGACCGCGCAGCTCAAGCACTGGGTCGTGTTGTTGAACGGACACCTCACTGCTGCCCACTGTGCTCCCCTGCTGCTCAGGCTCTTGCTCCTGTGCTTCCTCTGCTGGGAACCCTGCAGTTGCCCCTGCTGACGGCCCAGCATCCAGGCCATTCTCATCGCCAGCAGCAGCAGCGGAGGAGCGAGCAGCAAGCCCGTCCAATGCTGCTTGCAGCGCAGCAGGGTCCGGGTGGAACACCTCGTTCGCCATGGCCAGCACTTGCCGCGCGCGACCGTGGGTGGGAGCGAGGTGGAGCATGTAGGCCGCGAGCTCGTGTGCTGCCTGCCAGTCGTCCAGAGACACCAGCACTTTCAGCAGCTTGTTCAAACACCCCCCTGTTGAAGCAACGCAAGGCAAGCAGCGGAAAAGGCAACGCAACGGCCATTAGTGCGTGCAGTGGAGCAGACATGGCATGATGTGACGTAATGTGGAAGAAAACACCCCTAGTGCGAAGCAACTGTGGCATGGGCTAACTCGGATGGTAGGCGCTGCATGGACGTACAGTGGTAAGGGCTGCAGGTAAGGCCTTGCTCCAACGCGAATCTCGCCAGGCGAGCTCGACCTGAGGTTCGGAGAGCCATGGATCCGAGTCGGTGCCAGAGCACGACATCCTGGCCGTCGATCTCCGTCGCTGTGACGTAAGCACGCAGTGCTGACTCGTTATAGTCACTTCCCAGCTTCGCGTACACGTCGCCAAGGTTCTTCCACACCAGAAATCTGTATCAGCGACACAACGACGCGCTCCCGTGGTTAGGTGATGCGGACTGGAAGAAGACTGAACGCGAGGAATAAAAACGGGAATGGTTTGACTTACTGAAGGTGACGCATCTCCGTCAGCCCTCCCCCTGCTTCAGCCTGCGACGGCAACCACAGACACGAACGCATTCGTCAACGACGGCTGAGTCGAACCGTGAGAAGCCACAAGTCGAGCCAACACTGACGCACTACGAGACTACGACCCGAACGCGTCTAGAACGAGTGGAGCGGATTACGAAACTAAACATGCGAAGCTCCTGGCCAGCCATAGAAACCACGCGACGCGACGCGTAGCGTCAGACACGAGCAGGAGTCGCCGCGACCCTACCTGGACTTCCTTCCACAGCGGATGGCAGGACATTTCCTCCAAAGCCTCTCTCGCCTCCGACAAACGGCCATTTCCGATTTCATCGAGGGCTTCCTGATACGCGTCTTGCAACGCGGACTCCTGCTCAAGCGACGTTCGAAATGGACGATGAAATTAAAAACTGGTGGAATCTGAAGCGGGAAGAGCGGATGAATGCGAGCGAAAGCGAACGAGAGCGACGAAGGAAGCGACGGCTACCTGCGCTTCTCTGGTGGGGCCTCCTCTCGTCTGTGCTTGAGGCCGTACGGCATCGTTGATGCACGATATGGAAAACTGCGCAGGAACGAATTCAAGCGGAAATTGAGCTAAAACGGTATACTACATGCATAGCGGGAATCATCATGCTTGCTGGGATCTGAGCTACGAGAAACCACTAAAGTGAATTAATTTGATTTGGCAGGTACAAAAAAAACCAAGCAAGTTTGGTGCTCTAAACATAGTGAAGGTGGTGCTGTGGAGAGCATTCTTAGGAGGAAATCGTTTATCTAATGTGGGACAAGTTACCATGGTTTCTGTAGGCTAGGGTCATCAGTGGAGCTGCAAACTTCAATGGATGCTGCTCTCGAAGAACTACGGTTTCCTGAAGGTGGTTCAAAAGCAAGATTAGATGGTAGAGCAGCTCTTGCTTCCAGCAAACTTTGCACCACCAGCCCATCTCTCTCTGCTCACGCATCTGCAGACGTTGCTCACAGCACACCGCGCGTGAGTGGGATGGTGCCTTTCTTGGAATCAAGGTATGCTGATTTATTTCAGATTCGTCTTTGTGTGGAACCTTATGAAATTGGTGCATTTACAGGGATTTTGGCCACCTCTGGCCTGAACTTCGCTTCCTCCCTCCCCATGCAATGTGAAGATGATCTCGGGGATGGGTCGCGATTTGTTTTCGCGAAGATGGACTCACGAAGAGCTCCTCACGGTAACCAGCAGCAAACGTCACTCTTCTTCAAAATCCAACTTGATAACAAGCATAAGCTTCACCTCATGCGAATTGCGTAAACGATTTGATATCACAGTGAGCTGAGGCGAGATTTGCTCATTCGAAGCTCAAACCCTCGCGTTTTCGGCGGCAACTCTGACCAGGCTTTCTGACTCCGCATGTGTTCTCCGCAGCACGTCACTGCAGCCACCGCACCCCAACGCCTGCCCCAACCAACCCCGCTTTCGTGTTCCCGCTGCCGCCAATTGCCAGGGCTGGTTACCATCCGACGACAGGTCGTCCAGAAACTTTCGCGAAACCGTGCTATACACGTGGCTTCGCAATGTTGCTGTCGGTAGTACCCTGGTTTTCCCCCAAAGGGGTTCGCACTGCCGTACGATTCCTTTCGAGGTCGCACAGCAAACTTCGCCGTCTCTCGCTGACAACAACAGCCTTTTCGCTAAACGCATAACCCCAATCTCATCTGCCACCACCACTCAGACGACCTCGGTGTTCATCTAGATCTCATCTCTTCCTCGCATCTGATCCGTAGAACTGATCTGTTGTCGACATCTCGTCCCTTCATCTGCACCTCCACCGCTGCCCTAACTCACCCTACATCCTCTCCTGCTCAACCTGCCATCACAAAAACTGTGTGGCGCATCCTCCAAATCACCGCCAGCTTCTTTCACATCTTTCGCTCACCAACGTCACTCCGCTTTCTGGTTGTAACTGTTGCTGCTGCCTGTTTCCACGGCCTCGCTCTCTCACCACCAGCTCCTCATCACCTACGAGTCATGGCCTGGGGAAAGCCTGGAACCGGCGTGGTGAAGTCGTACACCGTGGAGTGGTCAACCATGGAGCAGACGACAGCCAAGGCCGCGGAGCGAGTGAGGGACGAGCGGGTTCCCGAGGAGGACGAGGAGGAGGACGAGAACCCCGTGTGCCCGCTCTGCATTGAAGAGCTCGACGCCACGGAGATCCAATTCCGGCCATGTCCCTGCGGGTGAGGGTCTAGTGCCACGCACCGCAGGTCCAGCCGGTACTTGAACTCATGAGATAGGAGGGTCAGATCTGACCTAAGCGTGGTGTTTGAGTCAGTCGCGTTCCTCAGGGTTGAGTGAGGTTAACGTATGTGATTGGATCTGACTTCGCAAGGCGGCGACGACAGTTATGCTTCTTAGGTTACTAGGGTACTGTTACTTCCTGCAAATTCTCTCTTGGTTTTCCATCCTTGTTCCTTTCTTCACATCTCCTTTCCATTTTCCGTGTTCTTTCCCCGCCGCTGCAGCTACCGCGTGTGTCTGTTCTGTTACGAGCGAATCAAGCTCGAGCTCAAAGGCATATGTCCCAGCTGCCGCTCGACCTACGGCGACCCGCAAATGGCGGCGCCACCGCAGCCAACCGCATCGGTTGCGTCATCGGGTAAACGGAGGGGGTCTATCTCTCGCAACGGCGACAGCAAGGTGTCCGAGCAGGGAGCGTCGATCGCGGGAGCGTCGCTGGGAGTGTCTATTCTGGGAGCTGGCGATCATCGCTGCCATTCGCGAGTGTCGCCCGCTCCGCCAATACTCGCGTCGTCGGAATTCCCGACTCTGTCGTCGTCGCCTCCTCTTTCAGGTGTGTTCAAGTCACTTCGTCGTCGCGTAAGCTTTTTCCTCCGCCAGCTTATAATTCTCCCGTGTTGAGTTTCTCATCTGAAAGTCCTTCCGTCGCCGTGCCCATCTCCCCTCCCCGTCGCCTGCTCCCTCCAGTTCAACCCAGAAGGGGGCCATCATGGGAGAAGCCTCCTTTGGCCGTTCCACCGTCAGCCGCCCCACCATTCCCACCACCATCATCGTCATCAGCAGTAGCAGCAGCAGCAGCATCTTCGTCATCAGCATCGTCGTCCTTAGCGCCATGGGCGTCAGTCTCAGCCACAGCCACAGCCACAACCACAACCACAGCTGCAGCCCCTCCATCGTCGTTTCCGCCGCTCCTACCGCTCGACCCGCCTCAGCAGCCCGCTTCGCAGAGCCACGTGGCTTCGAGTCACGCGACGCAGAGCCGCGCAGCTGCGGCTGCTGCGGGCGTGCGGCGTTTACCGTCCGACGCCCATGGCGCGCCGAGCGTTGAAACCACCGCTGCGTCGTGGCCCGCGCTTAAGGCAGAGCCAGCGACGGCTGGTCCATCTGTGTCCGCCGTATCGAGTCAGGCTCAAACGGGGAAGTCTGCGGGTAGAGACGCACGGAAGGAGTCGGGCGAGGAGAAGGGGAAGGAAGCGGGGAAAGCGGCCGAGGGTGCCAAGGCCGCGACGGTCGCTTCTGGGGGTTCTGCGGCGACGGGTAGGAAGCAGCAGCCTCCGCAAGCCTTAGCGGGTGCCGCGGCGGATGTCGCGGTATCGAGTTCCGCGTCGTCCGCCGCCGTTCGTTCTTCCGCCAAGCCGTCGACTCGCACTGTCAGTCCCCCGCCCGTGCCCGCCGGCTCCGCCTCTCGCGTCCCCTCCACCGCATCTCACGAGCCGGCGCGCGGCGACGGCGCGACCAGCGTCGGCAACGGCGGGACCACGACCAGGGGCAACGCGAGGAACAGCACCACCTCCACCGGCGGCAGCGGAAGCGGCAACGATAGCAGCAGCGGCAGCGGCAGCGGCAGTGGCAGTGGTAGTGGTAGTGGTAGCAGCAAGCGCAGCGGCGGCGGCGGCGGGCGCAGCAGGAGCAGCAGCAGCGGGAGAGGGAGCTCGTCCGACGATGAGATGGGGTTCAGTCTGAGCGACCAGCTCGCGGAAATGCTGCTCAACAGCCCCGGCCGCGCCGACCTCGGTGCTTCCGCCGCGCAAGCAGCCGCAGCGGAAACAGGTGTGGCGGAAACACGCGTATTGCAGCAGAACGGAGCAGGGGAGAGCAGCCGAGTTGCGGCACCGATCTCCGAACCTGCCAGTTCCGGTGTGCCGAAACCATCCAGCTCCGTTCCGTCTCTTCAGAGGATTCGGGACGCCGTGTCGCCGCACAGCACCGATTCATCCATCCCGCTCGCCGCTGCCGGCCCCCACGGCAGCATCTCCTCGCCATCCTTCTCCACGTGGCTCTCGCCGCACTCCACCTCCTCCGCCGCTACCCTCTCCAAACCCGTCCTATCCACCGCTAACGGGGTGGCTTGTAACGGGATTGTTGTTCCGGGCTGGGCGTCGTCCGGCGGGAGCGGGCTGGAGCGGCTGCAGCAGCTGCACGTGCTGCAGCGGCAGCTGCAGCAGGCTTTCGTGGGCGTGGGATGGTCGACGGACGAGATGCAGCGCGCCAGTGAGATCGTCGCCGCGGCGAAGCAGTCTCAGAGCCGCTTCTCGGGTGCCGCAGCAGCATCAGCAGCTGCAGCAGCAGCAGCGGTGGCGCCCACTGTAGCAGCAGTGCCGCCTACAGCAGTTACAACATTTCCCCTTACCGCTACCCCCGCTGTCCCTGCGTCCGCCGCTGCTCCTAAGACTGCCCCATCCAAACCTGTGACCCCGCCTCCTGGCTTCCGCCCTCCCGCTCCCCCTGGCTTCGCGCCCCTGACCCCGCCTCCTGGGTTCGGCCCGTCCGCGGGCGCCAAGAAAGCGGACGCGGGCGCGGGTGCGGGCGCGCTAGTACAGGCGGATGTGCAGGCGCAGGCCGCCGCCGCAGCAGCAGTGCGGGCTGGATCGGGGCTAGGGTTTTCCGGACAATCGGTGGAGTCAGTGGGAGCAGCATGGGGGTGGGGGGCCTCGGGCACACTTGCCGCCTCCTCCTCTGCCTCGTTTGGCTCGCCGCTGCTGACCCCTGGCTACTCCAGCGCTTCAGCCTACACCACCACCAGTGCAGCAGGCTATACCGGTGCCGCAGGGTATTTCTCAGGGTATACCAGTGCTGGAGGGGTGTCGGGGCGGAGTGGGTCTGAGGTGGGGGCGGCGAGAGGGACGTGGGGTGGAGGGGACGCGGATGCTGCTGTGGCTGCTATTGCAAGCATCTGGGGGCAGGAGAATGGTGCGACGGCTGCTGCAGAGTAAGTGTCCCGCTCGCTCATTGCACTTGATTTTATTATTTCTGCCAGTCGCTGCCACTTCAGTGCTGCTTTTCAAACATGTCACCTAGTTTTGTGTTTGCACCTCGTCTCCCTCTAGCCTCTGTCATCCTGATCTTATCACCTGTTAGGAATCAAAGCACTCACTCAATGCTGCTCTCATCCCATGTCCCGTCCTGTGCAGGAACACTAAGTGGCAGTCAGTGGGGTCAGGCCTGCAGTCCTTCTCAGGAGGGTCCATGTCCATCCCCATGTCCACGCCGCTCTCTCTCCTCGGGGCTTCCATCTGGAGCAACGGCTCCATGCAGCCCTCTCAGCCGTCTCAGCACCCCAGCGTTTCCCAGCACTCTGGCATGTGGGGTTCCTCGCCGCTTGCTCGCTCCCCCTCGCCCCAGCCTGCAGCAGCTCTCGCCTCTGCTGCCCTGCTCTCGCAGGGTGGAGGGAGTGGGGCAAGGGGGGCTTGTGCGCCGCTCTTCCCTCATGGGATATCGTCGGTGTTGCTTGGGCAGGGTGTTTCCTCGTTTCACCATTCCGTTTTGCCGCTTGGGCTTCCCCTGTGATCTGTTTGCTTGATTTGTTACCTTTGATACTGGGTACCACATTCATTTGGTTTTGACTCTAATGCTGTGCGCCACCAATCAAATGTTCTGTTTGACCTTCTAAACGAATGATGGTAGTTGATGCATTGGAATCTCTGTTCTCTTCAACCAATCAATTTCCAAACATAGGTACGGGTACTATGCACTTAATGAATCGACATGTGCAGTCTAGTATCGCGTATAGCGAGGCAACGCCCACAGGCACCCTATTTTCGGCATTACCTGACTTCGCGGCGACGCGTCGTCAGTGAACTTAAGACTGGCTGCAGGTAGATTCAGCATTCGTGTCAAATGCGACTGCATTTATTCCAACGGCTACTTTTCCAGCGTTGGCGATGCGACGAGTACGAGGAAGTGATCGCGAATCTGTCGCCTGAACCATGCTACCGATTAGTTTTAGGTCCGTTCTGGCTCGCCAGGCATTAGCAGTACAGCCCTACTTTTAGTCGTAGGCTTACGGAGCAGGCGGAGGTAATGAAATCGAAGCTCGTTTCTGACCATGTACATTTTTACCTGAGATGTAACTTGCCTGTGTGAGCTGAAACATATGCAACCTAGTTTACCAGTCGCGATGGCAACCGGGTCGAAGGCTGTTTCTGATGCCAAGTGGCATAATCTAGGCATGGTCACCGGGTCGCTGTTCGCCATCATCGTCGCCGTCGCTTTCCATCAGTACCACTCCTCAACCGTCACTGAGGTGCGACGTCCATTCATGGGTCATACTGCCAACTTGGAAGTCCGTGATACTACCTCAACACCAACTGTCGATGGATCCTCCCTTTTTCGATCATTATGCATGATTCAATGGATGTGAAGCAAAGGTACAGAGGTACAGTGCAGTTGTTTCAGTGTCACCTGATTCAAGTTCCCCGTATCTCCCCACCCCATCCCCATCCCCATCCCACCCCCTATCCCTGCTATACTCATTCCTTTTCCTCTCCTCACTCCTTCGTGCCACGTCATCAGCTCAAATCGCTGCTGCAAGAGTCCAGGGACCGAGCTACCGACGTGGATGCGGCTCTAAGTGACATCAAGGCGTTGCTTACCAACCCTTCCAGCAAGAGGACAGACACACAAGGTACACTTTTAAGGCTGAATTAGGGTCTGCCAAACCAATCCATTTCATTCAATCGTTGCTAAATCTTCACGCGTTACTCCACTCGCGCTGCTCCCTCACACTCCCTCCATTCCCGTCCCCCTCCCCTACCAGCCGGTGCTCACCTCAACCAGCGGTGCATCCTGGCCGTTGATCGTGGAAGCATCAACGCCTCCCTGCTGGCCGACACATCGTCTCCGGATTATCTGGAAGACAACGCCAAGCACCTGCCGTCGTGGCTCTCCTCCCAGCTGATCAACCAGTGAGTGGAGAGGATGGATGGAGTTGAAAGGGGGTGGAAGGGGGTGGAAGGGGGTGGAAGGGGCTGGAAGGAGTGGAAGGAAGGCCGGGTGGCGAGTGTAGAGAGGAGGGGGTGGACCAGGAAGGAGGGAGAAGAGACGTATCAGGATGAGGCCAATGGCCTTACCATCACAAAAAACGGATCATGATGTTTGTGAAACGAGGCAGAACACACATGGCTGCAGCATTGATTCAGTGTGCGTCGTTTCCACAGCAGTGCCCATGACATGTTAGCATGCTGTTGCTCTCTCTCTCCCCTTCAACATCGCATAGGTGTGTTGCCTCCCACCTGTCTCTGCTGCCCTCTTCAGGTTGTACGCGCAACGCCACGGCTACACTTTCTACTCGATAGAAGCCATCACGCCCATGCTCATAAGCGAAGGCATCGACCCCAACACCATCAACAGGGTACGCGGTTACAACAGGGCACGCGGTTACAGCAGGGTACGCGGTTACAACAGGGTATGACTACAGCTTGTCTAGGCGTTTAAAATTTTGCATTAACCCCAACACCATTTAACAGGGTATTCTCTCAGCATGTCGTGTGTGTGGATAGTTCATGGTTTAACACCTCCTATTGACAGGAAAAAAGCTCGCGCCTTGCACCCCGCCTGTGCTGCCCTCTCTCCCACAATTCCTCTTAATTTTTGAGACGTCTCAACCCTTTCCACCATCCTCCTCCCCTATCCCCCCCCCCCCTCCCACTAGCCCCCGTCCCCCTCCTCCTCCTTCCCCCAGATCACCCTTATCAATCGTCAGCTGGCGTGCTGCTGTCGCTGGGTGCTAGCCCTGGTGGACGGCGCCTACGTGCGCCTGGAGCAGCACAGCGTGCCCGTGGAGCACTGGCTCGCACGCCTCGCCACACAGACACACTTTCAAAAGGCCGATCGTCCGAATGTGCCCCCACTTTCTGCTTCCCCCTCTCCCTCTCCTCCTCCCCCTCTCCTCCTCCCCTCCCTCCCAAACTCCCTGTCCCTGCCAGATTGCCTTCATAAACCGCCAGCTGGCGTGCTGCTGCCGGTGGTTTCTAGCCCTGGTGGACGGAGCATACATACGTCTGGAGCAGCACAGCCTCCCCGTGGAGCACTGGCTCGCACGCGTGGCCCTGCCCGACAGGTTTCAGTGGATCACGCGCTCGGGCATTGACATGGCCAACCAGACCTGCTTCCCCTCCGATCCTGCCTCGTTGGTGGCGGATGGGGGGATGGAGGCTCGCAGCAGGATGAGAGGAGAGGAGATGTGGATGAGTGGCAGGAGGAGCAGAGGGGGGAGGGGAAGGGAAGGTTGGGGGGCGAGCAGCGGGGAGCAGGGGGGGAGGAGGGGGAGGGGAGGGAGGGGAAGGGGCGGCGGCGGCCGTTGATAGGTTTGGTGGGGTGGTCAGGGGATGGGGTGTATGGGCTGGCGGGCAAGGCGGGGACTCTGTTTCATGAGAGCGTTCCGTTTGTGGGCAACGCTGCGGTACTGCTCACACACAGTGGCGACACTTTCAAGGTGTGTGAATGTGAAAGTGAGACATCTGGAAGGTAAGGCATAGCCTGCTGGCCCTGAGAGCATGTTTAATGAAAGAGTGAAGTTTGTGGGCAACTCTGTTGCGGTGCTGCTCACTCACAGTGGCGACACTTTCAAGGTGCATCAAAGCGCCTCGATGTTCAAGAGGTTTTGTATCGAATCTACCCCGGCCATGTGCCTCCATCTCATTTCCTTCTCCTGTCTGTCTTCTACCAAGTCCTCTCTCATGTCAGGCCAAGTCAGGCGCACTCTGGCTTGCTATTCGGAACAACGCACAGGCATTTCCAGGTCTTCACCCCACCCTCCCATTGCCCTACATTTCCCATTCCCCGTGCCCCAGTTCCTGTCCCTATGGCAGGCCAAGTCGGCAGCACTGGGGTGGGATTTCACGGGCCTGCAGGCGGCAGTGAGGGAGTTTGCCGCCCAGATTGCCATCGTGCCGCACCTGGAGATGGGCGGCTTGCATAGTCGTGCCATCCGGTATGCCTTTTTTGGAAGCAACCAGGAAGATGCTGAGAAGGTTCTTGCAACGGCTTTGCTGGCTGCGGTGAAATTTCACCAGGCATGGAAGGACAGCAACGGTGATGCTGTGTGAGAACGCTTTGTACAGGATGTGCAGTTTGTTTAATAGCTTTTTGTTTAACGAGCATGTACAAGTGAAAGCAAGTACGTAAGTTATTGTCTGAAGAAAGAATTCTGTAGTCAATAAAAAACCCCAGCCATCATCCTCCTGAACTCTTTGTAATCCACATATCCATCCTCGTCAGTGTCCACCCGCTTTATCATACGTTCGCAGTCTTCCGTCGTCAAATCATCCCCGGTAAGAACACCAACCACGTATCGCAGCTCCTCCGCGCTTATCACACCATCCCTGTCAAGGTCAAAGATTTCAAACGCGCGGAACAAATCATCGTCCATCACGTCCTTCCCTGAATTACTCCCACCGTCCGATTCATCTTCCCCCTCATCATCGGACGATGGAACGGAGACAAAGGACGGCCCTGCGCGCGCCGAGAGCAAAAACTCATCGAAATTGATCATCCCGTCGCCGTCCACGTCAGCCTCGCGAATCACATCCTCCGCGAAACCAATCAAATCGCCTCCCGCCTCGATCGCCGGAATACCGCGCCGTCCAGGCTGCGTCTCAGCAGAAGTATTACTGCTATCCAGGCGGGCTAGGAGAGTCGCGAGCTCGTGGGCAGAGATTTTGCCGTCCTTGTCCAGGTCGATCGTCTCGAAGGTGCGCGCGGCCTCGCGACGGAACGAGGAGGACGCGATCTGGAGGATATGGCTCGAGCGGGTGTTTCGCGATGCTGACGCGACGATGTCGTGCTGCTGGAGGGCCATACGCGAGGGGTCGGCAAGGATATCTAGCAGAGTTTCGATTAGTTCCAAGTGTGGAACAGAGTTGGTCGGAAGTTGGCCGGGGAGAGGGGGTGAACGAAAGCAGACGTGCCAATTGCTTTCAGGATTCTTGAGAATAGCACGGGTACTACTGGAAACGCAGAGATGATTCTGTTATCGCAGCAAGAGAACAAGCTAGAGAGCTTTTGCGGGTGATGGAACTGTTGTTGATCATAAAATTGAGTGAATGACAGAATGCTATTTCGCCCCCCCCTTGTACGTGCGTTGTGAAGCATTCAGCTGGTAGGTGGAGATGTGAGACTACTCGGGTTACCTCCATCGAGCACCTTCGCTACTCCACCGCTCATCCAATCGAATTTCCCCATTGCAGAGCTGCGAACTTTCGGGATACGCTTTCACGAGTGAGCTTGTCGTTCCGTGGCGAGCAAGCTGGGATTGTAGGTGCTGCGAAGCTGGCGAAGCAGCTTTCCCGCAGTTTTAGGGGGAGCGCCAGTAATGCACGGAGCGGAAGGTATGTGGCGATGCGATGGGAAGCGATGCGATGGGAAGCGATGCGATGGGAAGCGATGCGATGGGAAGCGATGCGATGGGAAGCGATGCGATGGGAAGCGATGCGATCGCGCGAAAGTCTCGCTTGTCGTGACAGTCAAGGCATGTGCTTTGGTATGGGTGTTTCGAAACCAAAATCTTCGTGGAATATTTTGCTCGAACACTTGTTTGACATACGGGAAACTAGTAGAATTCGCATATTATTCATTAAAATATCATCATTCATGAACAGCCACACGTGCAACAAATGCATTGCATGCTGGTTATAAATGGCTTGCCAACCAGGTCAAGGATAGAACCAGGAATTCCGCTCCGGAGGAAGACAGAATTGCATGCCAACAAACAGAGGGTTCCGGCAAACCACGCCATAATTATACTGGGCCATAAGCCGTGCACTGTTGCGGAAATATACCGAGATTATGCGAGCGCATGTATCGCCTCGTGTGGCATAGTACAGATCATTTGTCACACAGTTACTCGCTCCCATCCAATTGGGAGTCGCCTTCACACAGACCTGGGAAACAAACGAAAAAAACAAGCGAAAGTAGGCTTGCTGAAATGAAATCTCTCGTTCCTACAAAGCCTGCAACGAGAGTATGTAGCAAGATATTCATCCTTCAAAAAAAAAAAAAAAAAAACACACACACACACACACACACACACACACATTTTTTTTTGTGTTGTTCCCCCAGTTCTCACCTGGACTCCGGTGTCTGTGGTAGCATTGGGTTGCTCCAGGAGCGAGCAGGAGAGGCTGGGGTTGAGTGCGATAAAGTGTGTGGGCGGGAGAGGGGGAGAGGCCACGGATCGCATGATTGAGGGGCACGTGTCGCCCTGCTGGGGTGTGTACCAGCGCGCACAGCGGCGGGGGAGAGGCGTTGATGCTGCCGCCACACATATCTGATGGGGAATGGCACGGGGGGGAAGGGAGTAACCACGTGTGGGGGGAGGGGAGTGAGTGAGGAGGCTATGTGGTAGTAACAAAGAGCAGGGAGGAACAAGAATGGAGAGGCAGAGAGGGAAGGTCGGAGAGCAATGCAAGTACCGATTGTTGAGTCGACTCAAAAAGAGCAATGCAAGTACCGATTGTTGAGTCGACTCAAAAAGAGCAATGCAAGTACCGATTGGCTGGAGGAGAAGGGAACGGTGCAGTCGAGCTGGGGGTTGAGAGCGAAGAGAGCTGCTGTGCTTGTATTGAATAGGTCCACTATCGAAGCACACGTGTCCCCCTGCACACAGGCAACACCCACCGTCAGTCACCTTGCAAGAGACCCAGCCACTTTTAGAAAACAAAATCCAAATGTATACGAGATCGGGATTTGAAATAGAAGAGTGTGGGTTGGCCATGGCAAGAGGGTTGACGGTAAGATGGTGTTGGTGAGGAGATGTGGGTCGCACCAGGGAGGAAGCATAAGAGAGCGAGCACATGCTGGCTGCTGCTGTGGTGTTAATGGTGACGGTGACTCCCACCTCCAGCTTGGTGCAGTCCATGCCCTGTTGCAGCAGCCAGTGAGGGCACACAGCAGTCACAGCACACACGGCACAAGAGAGGACTTAAGGAGTGCAATCGGTGTAAATTTTCAGCAGGGGGGTGAGAAGAGAAGGGTAGTGTGATTGGTATGTAGCATGCATGGAGTGCGGGTGGTACAGAGAGCAGGGACGTGTGGGTGTGCTTACAGGGTTGGTCTGCTGCAGCTGTTCCACTGTGATACGGAAGGTGAGTGCCAGCATGCCACACGTCATCCCCTCCACCACTTGCACTCTCCGCACCCCCACACTGCCACCACTGCTGCTGCTGCCGCTGCCCCCACCGCCGGCGCCGGGGGTGTCCCAGTAGTTGGTGGGGGGCGGTGGGGGCGGCACGACGCAGGTCTGCGTGCCGTCAGTGTTGTTGGTGCGCTGGGTGGGCGGCGGGCAGAGACAGGAGTAGCCGCCCGGGCTGGTGGTGCTGTCGATGCACGTGCCCGTGTCACACGGATTCACCATGGAGAAACCACAGCGCCGCGCTGCAAGCAGGGGGAGGGGAGAGGGAGAGGGCCGTGGGTGAGAAAAGGTTGATGGGGGATGAAGGGAGGCTGGCCGCGGCTGGTGGTGCTGTCAATATGTGCCCGTGTCACACGGATTCACCATGGAGAATCCACAGCGCCGCGCTGCGATCATGAGGGGAGGGGAGAGCAGCGGGAGGGGGGAAAAGGGTAGTTGGGGGGTCTATTCGCTAGGCGTGTCTTGAGTGGGCCTTTACACGAGCCCACATCGCACGCATCCACCATGGAAAAGCCGTGTAAAAGCCCACTCAAGACATGCCTAATGTACGCCCAGCATGCACGCAACTAGTGTAAAGCACCGAATCTCCCCCCCCAACTCACCCAGAGCACACGAAACCCGGAACCCCTCAGGGCACTCGCACGTGTTGCTCCCTGTCCCCGCATCCACAGCGCACTTCCCGCCCCCACAGGGGTTGATGGGAAAGCAAGGATGAGGGGTCGTAATAACCGGATAGAGGGCCGGCATGGAGTGAATCCCGCATATGCCGTCCCCTCCCGCCATGGCCAGGCGCATGACGCCCCAGCGGCCCCACCAGGAGCCCCAGCTGTTGAGAAGGATCCAGTGCGGTGTGGGGTCGGTTAGGTCGTAGCCTATAACGAGTACAGAGTGGTCCACTAGGCCGTTGAGGAAACAGGAGGGGTCCGAGTAGACGAAGGACTGAAGGGGGGGAGGGGGGGTGAGTGGGTGGGGGAGAGGGAGATGGAAATGGGGGTGAAAAGGGCGTAAGCGAACCACAGACGGAGGGAAGGGAGGTAGAACAGAAGATAAGGAAGTGAGGAATGGCTGAGAGCAGAGAAAAAGGAAACGCAGCCTCCCTCCAGCGATCATCACTCACCCCATCGTATTGAATGAACGAAGGCTGGTCCGCCTCTAGAGCAGCCACCACGGGCTGTCGCTGCAGCGCCAGGATCACCCCCAGGTGCCCCTCCAGCCCCGTCTCCTCGAACATTGTGATGCTAAAGGGGCCCTTATAAGGGGTACGGCGCGTGAACGGCACCGAGTTATCAGCATACACCAGCGGCGGCGCCTGCTGCTGCTGCTGCTGCTGCTGCTGCTGTTGAAGGCAGAGGGAAGCCCGAGAGGCGTTCTTGGTACCCCGAGCTCCGATAAAAGGCACGGCAGCAGCAGAGGGGAGGGCAGTAAAAGCCATGAAATCAAGGGCCTCAGCGGACCAACCCCCCTCGCACCCATCCAGCCACGTTCCCCCTCCTCCCGTGTCGTTACTCTCACTCCCAGCCCCGACAACCGCAGGGGTGTGGAGGGTGTTGGGTGCGCACTCGAGGAGGCGTTGGGTGGAGATGGCCGGGGGCGGCGAGTTGGTGACAATGGCGTACAGGGATTCCACTGCTGCCACCGCTGCCATCGCCCAACATGCCGCTGATTGGTTGGTGGGAAGGGGAGGGGGTAGGGGTAAAGAGGGGGAGAGGGGGGGGGAGGGAGGTGGGAGGAGGGCAAAGAAAAGAGTGAGCAAGATGGAGAGCTGGAAAGAAAACGAGAAAGGGCAGGTGGAGGAGAGGAGAGGAGAAGAGGGGAGCAGAGGCAGGTGAAGGGGCAGGTGAAGGGGCAGGTGAAGGGGCAGGCGAAGGTTAATTTTCTCACCGCAGGAGGCCTGGTTTTGCACGGGGCGCACCATGCGCCTCTGCTGCCAGTCAACGCGGTCAAGGTAAGTCCACCGCGGGGCGGCGCCCTCGACACTGCCATTGCTGGCGGCAGGGGGGACAAAGCCAACGCTGGCGTGGCGGAAGTTGGGGTTGCGGCGGCGGATGGACGCCCACATGTTGGGCGTGAGGGGGAGCAGCAGACCCGTGGACACGGGGGGCAGACCTGACGGTGGGGGAGAGGGGAGGGGAGGAGGGGTGTGTGAGGCAGGCACAGTGAGTGCATAGTAACATGACAAGAGCAACAGGGTAGCAGAGTAGCAAGAGCAGTTCAAAGAGTAGTGTCTTGCGCCGTCGTGAAAATTCCCCACCTGGCATCACGAGTGTCTTGCGCCGCCCGAATCTGAGGGTGGTGAGCGCATCGGGACCCAATCCATCATCGTGAGCAGTACACGTGGCAATCTCTGAGAGGACGAGAACGAGGAGCAGAGCGAGCAGGGACGTCAGGCACGGCTTGGCGCGCTGCAGGATCGCCATGGCGGCCGCTTTATGCGCCTAACGGACGGATGTAATAATAACGGATGGTCGTACTGCGACTTGTACTCCAATCCTCCCAACAAAAAACTTCCTCCCTTAAGAGAGTTTTCCTCAAAAAGCGAAATTTCGCACGGAATCTGAACGCGGCTGACTAATTTCGCCCCCCTCTCCTGCACGGCTTGCACTGGGAGTTCGCAGCAGCGGATGTGCCTTTTGTAGGCACACGAGGAGCCTCCTCAAGACTCGGCACGCAGTTGTCTTGAAGACATCTGCTGGCAAGTTGCCACGCGCATCGAGTCGCATCTCTATCTTCGCTGGCACCGCTTTCAACCCCCCTGCCTTCCCTCCAGCGCTCGATGCTTTTTTCATTTCTTGGCGCCGTGCGCAACGGCGAGTCGCCTCGCCTGCACTCGCTCGCGGGATCATCCGACGAACGACAGCTAGGAGCTGATATTTTCCGCGGTAACGCCGCACGAATCTGTTGCGGGTAACTGCCGCGAGCGCCAAGTGGCTTTCGCGGAGGTTGGCCCATTTCGCCGCACGATAATCTGTTTCGGCTGTCCGCTGCTCGATTCTGTTTAATGCAACGCTATGCACCCCAAGCGTTCTCGTCGGGGGGAGGTGGTTACGGGTGATGCTGACATCGATGCGTCTCCGCTCACAAGAGGTGGATTTAACCGCATTTTGGAACCGGACCGCGCAGACGCGACTTTTCTTACTGCATCAGTGCAAAGCACCAGCTATTCATAACCGCCATGTTTAGATCTGACTGAACAAAGAATGATAAGAAAGTGGGGAAAAAGGAGGCGAAAACGACAGGAACTGGCAGTTTGGCTGGAAGGGAGAGGATGAGAATGACCACATTGTACTTCATACAAGCAGATCGATAAACGAATATATCGCTGTAATTCAGCTCCACTTGTAAGGATTCGCTGGGCTGTGTAACAGTTATCAATCACGAAACGTTTCTAGCCACAACACTTTGCCTCTGGTTTCCCAAGCCGTTTCGCTAGAGAATTAAGCCGTCGCGAACGTGCTGGATTGGATCAATTTCCCTGTCGATTTTTCGCGTAGCTTGACAGCGACGCTCGCAAATTCGCTGGACTGCAGTCCGTTGAGCCACCCCAAAGCGCATGCAATTTCTGAAACCTCATTTTATTGAAATGTCGGTCGATTCGCACGAGCGAGCCGCGATATCAATTTCGCAAAGTTTCTTTTGGCACGAGTGGGTTCCCTCCATTCCCTTCCCTCCACGCTAAAATTTTCATGCCTCTCAGTCTCTGAGCTTTCTGCTTCACGCCTAGAAGCCCATTTTTCCTTCATGGTGGGAAGGCACCTATCACTTTCCATCCCATCCCGCTACAGACCAAGATGCAGCTGTACTGTCGGAACATCACCCGTGCAACGACATAGATGCATCATCCGCCGTCGAAGAAATGCCTGCACCGAGTTTATCGTTCTCTCACACATTTCGGTCAAGTCTCTAGCAGCTCTGTGAGCCTGCGCCTTTACCACATCTGCGCATATCATAGATCGCACGCCTGCATAACTTGGTAATCAGACGCCGCAACCATGTCCAAGAGTAAGCTCTCGTCGCCTTGCCAATGCGCACGAACTCGCGACGGGAAGCGCCAGCATGCTTTAACTCCGTCCCAAAGGCAAGAGGCTCTAAACGCGTTCCGCGTTTTCGACATAAACGGTGACGGGAAAATCTCCCCAGCGGAGCTGGCGCTGGTTCTGGAACGACTCAGTCGGACGGAAACCGTCTGCGTCTCCGTCAGCGAACTGATTCGGGCAGCAGACGTCGACGGAGACGGGTTGGTTGACTTCGAAGAGTTCGTGAATTCTTCCCTCTTGTGGCGCTCCCCCGATTCTAGCGGCTGCGCTGCGTGCAGACCCAGCGGAAAACCCGGAGAGGCAGCAGCGCCCACGGCTGAAGACGGCGAGTTGCGGAGAGCCTTTGAGCTATTCGATCGCGATGGGAATGGCACGATCTGCGCGGGGGAGCTTCAGCAGGCGATTGAGATGCTGAGCGGTGACGCCATGTCGATGGAGGAGTGCCAAAGAATGATCGCCAGAGTGGACGCTAACGGGGATGGCAAGGTTGATTATAGCGAGTTTAAACACATGATGGCGGGAGTGCTTTAGTGAGCCGAGCAAGAATACTATAGAATGAATACGTACTTACATCTAGCTTGTGTTTCCCCGCTGTGCTGTACATGTAAACGTTTCTTCTGATTTGAACACGTTCAAACAATATTTATTTGTTGCTACACGCATGCTGCTGTGCAGTAGTGGCTTTAGTGCACGCCACGCCGGGTCTTACGCAGCCATTCCACTTCAGCGTGCCAAGTCTTTTCTGTCATGAGAAGTGTCGTTCGTTCGTTGCAACTTGGCAAATACCATTCAAATAGCTTGCCCATTCTCCAGGGACGGCAACAGCGCGCTCTCTTCTCCATTGTGACCGACTGCAGTGAGTCCAAGCACCAATGGTGTCGCTCAAATGCCCAGTTTGGTGGGATAAGCGAGAGCATTGTGATTTTTAAAAGAGGAAATGCGAAAAACGAGAAAATGCATTATGATTTACTACCGGTAATATCGTTTTCAGACTCCATAAATATACAATAGGAAACAATGAGAGTAGCCCCCTATGCAGTCAAGAGAAAACAGCCCTTACTTTGCTTGCCTTACCCCTCATGCAACCCCAAACCCCACACATTTCATTCAGTTAGAAGTCCCAACACCATAGAGTCAGACACCCCTGACCCTTGTCTTGTCCCTTACCCCCCTAGGATAGTGTTGCGCCCCTGATTGGTCTCCTTGTGTTGCTCCTGCGTACTGGACCCGTTTGAAGATGCTCCAACAGAAGTTGCCGCTACTGTTACTGCCACTGCCTCCCCTGGCTGCTATTGAGGCGGCTTCGGCTGGTAGGGCCCGTATTAACTGATAGCTAATGCCGTTGTCAGTAACGATGCTGTTACCAGTACTCAGTTGCTACTGCTGCGAATGAATGTCGCTCCCACTGCTGCTTCGGCTGCTGCTGCTGTCAGAAAGGCTCTGACAGACACGGATGCTGGCACGCCTACTTATCCAAACCAGGAGCTGCTGCTACTGCTAGTCAATGCTGCTGCTGCTGCTGCTGCTGCTGTCAGAAAGGCTCTGACAGACGTTCGTGTCAATGCTAGCCTAAGTCACAAGCGGGTGCTGGCGACCCTACGCACCCACCCTAAGTGGGCGTGAGAGAAGAACTTGGCTGAAGCATGGAAGCCTGCGGAACTCCACAGCATCCCCCCCTTCTCTCCTCTGTCCTAACCAATATTTCCCCCCACCCCGCCCCAAACCTACCCACCACTCACCAACACGCCGGTTGGCAGAACCCATCATTGTAACACCCCAACCACCCCCCCCCTCCCCCCCCCCCCCCCCCCCCTCTCCCGTCGGCCGTTAGCAAACCCTCCAATGCACATCTCCACGTCGCCCGTTAGCAGTACCCTTCCAAATTCTCCACTGCCGAAAGCCGCCCCAATCTCGGGCTGCTCTTCGCGTCCTCTGCTGCACCCTTCCCACCGTGCCCGTCAGCAGACCCAGAATTGCATCCCCCCCCCTTCCTCCTCCCACCCCGCCCGTTAGCAGTACCCTTCCATCTCCTTGACTGCTGAAAGCAGCCCCGAGCTCGGGCTCTTTACGTCCTTCAATTGCGGCACAACAGACCCCTCTATAGTAACATACGCGCTATTGAGAAACGGCTGCAACGGCTCCCCGCCTTCTACCGGCTGTATGTTGATGTCTGATAAGAGGATGTTGCTGCAGGGGACTGTGTCGGAGCAGTCGAGCTTGATTCCTTCCCCTTTAGAAGTCGTCCCTTTAACGTTTTTAAACGTGACGTCCGCAATTGCTACAGCACTCTCAGCAGTGCCGCATGATCGCGACGACTCACTGTTGCAATAAAACTGGTCGATGCGAATAGGGTTACCGACATTCTCGAGAATCATATCCTCGAAATGGATCCCCCTGGCTGACCCCTTGCCGCCCTGCCACGTCTTTATGCGAAGCCCGTTGGCGGTGTTGCGAAGGATGGATTTGCGAACTGTTATGTCGGAAACGCAGCTAATGTCTTTATCTTTCCCCAGGCTTCCAATGCTGTTGTTTGAGGTGCGGGGGGTAAGAGAAGGAACGAGAGGATAGAGGAAAAGATTGATGAGGATGGTGTAGTGGAATGGGGAGATCAGGTGGGGAAAAGCGAGTCATAAGTTGGTGTTTGCTACCCACGTGTTCTTTTACGCTGGTTGCGAGTTCATAACTTCACTGTAGAGCGGTGTAGCTTTCCACTTCATAAAAATGTCTCACCTGATTCCGTGCCCAGAGTTGCCAACAATGTTCTGAATTAGCACGCGCGACGTGCCGTTGATGATTGCGACATTGTCGTCGCCGCCCGAAAACTCGCAGTTTTCGATCAGGGCGTCCTTCACATACGACAAATGCAGACTGTCCGTGTTCGGGCTCTCCTCGGGACTCAATGTAGTCACGCCGCGTACAGTCACGCCGTTGTTCTCGTAGAAGAACAGATGCTTGAACGCGGAGTCCCTGGAATTTTCAGTTGCGAAGGCGGCAGTGCGGGAGAAGCGGGGAAAGAGGTGGAGGGAAAACGATGAGATTCATTATTTTAAACTAAACCAAATGGGAAAAGAAACTGGACAACGAACCAAAAAGAAAAGACGGATTGGACTGCACGCGCGGCGCGGCGAAACTCACTTGGAGGTGATGCCGGTAACCAGCACGCCGTGGCACTCCACAATCACGATGTTCTGCGGCCGCTCGTCGCCGCCCTTCTTCCACCACTCCTCCGCGTTCCCATCCACCAGCCCGCCGCCCACGATCTCTAATCCCGGGATACTGCGGAAATTCAGGATGCCGTACGTGCCCGACCCGGGATTGTTGTATTGCCCAGGATCGGAAGGCCCCACGATGGTTCCGTCGATTGTGAACTGCACGCCCGGACCGCACGGGCCCTCGAATACCACCGGCTTTACCAGGAACGTCTTTCCCGACGGAACGACAACTCCGGTTTTTTTGTCAGACGATTTCGCCTCCTTGCAGGCCGCCTCGAATGCCGCAGCGAACGCCTTCGAGTCGTCTCTCGAGCCGCCGCCATCGGCGCCGAATTGGGTTACCGAGAAAGTCGACGAAACGTCCGAGCCGGAATTCGAACCCGAGCCAGACCCCGACCCGGACCCTGAGCCGAAATCCCCCGAGAGCGAACCGCTGAAATCACCCGTGCTTTTAGTCGACCCTAGCTTCAGTCCGTCTTTCGCGGCGCGCTTCTGCATCCTTTCCCACTTCGCCTTCCCATGGTGCCCGCCAGTAGGCCCGTGATGCCCGCCGTACGGCCCGTGGTGTCCGCCCTTCAGTCCGTGATGCCCTCCGGACAGGCCATGATGCCCGCCTGACAGGCCATGATGCCCGCCCGTGCGGTGGCCCGACCCGATGGGGTGACGGCGCAGCACGCGGCGGCTGCTTGCGCCGGCGGAGAGGTCCGCGGGGCGCAGAGCGGAGAGGAAGCGGGAGAGGTTGGAGAGGCCGGAGGCGGGTTGCGCGGAGGCTTGCCCGGAGGTTTGAGCGGAGGGTTGCGCGGAGGAGTCAAAGGAGGGATCTGATTGGCCCCAGGAAAGAGCTCGGGAGGCAGCGGATTTGAGTGAGCTGGCGATATCGTGCGATTGTTGGGCGACAGTCGTGGCCGGAAATGGGCGACTTTTAAGGCGGTTCAGAATGATTTTGGCGGCTCGGGGTGCACGGACGCGCAGCTGAGAAAGTGCGCGCTTTTTAGTCGGGCTCAGCGGTAGTGGCCGCTGGTGCAGGTGAGACTGCTGTGAGCTGACCTGGGTGGGTACAGGAGGTAACTGTGTTTGTTGCGCGTCGGTTGTGAGACCTGGAGAAAGAGTTGGGTGGGGAGAGAGTGACACATGGACGGAAAAGAAAGAAAAATTCCGTTTAATATGATTAGTTTTGGCGAATTTAAAGCAACCAAGGCTCGCAAACAGCAACACGACGAGCAAATTAGGATTACTGGCGTCCTCTAGACTTACATAATGCTACAAGTGTAGCTAGAACCAGAAGTAGTATGCGTCTCGTCATCGCTCCACTCTTGTGAGGGATGCCAAGGTTTACGGATACTAACTGGTGGCAAAGAGGATGGTTTGCCAGTGATCGCGTGATTTATTGTACTAGCTACAGGTAGCTGTGTGATCGAGCTAGAAACAGTGAAACATTCGAATTGCTTCGCAGGAAAAGATTGCTACTTATGTTTATATCTTGTACCCTCCGCCGGAAAGCGAGTGCCTCACTATGAGCGGCCCGAAAGGTACATGCAGGCTTCTGCGAAAATGGAGAGGCACATGCCCAAGGAGCAAATTTGAAGCGGGGAGGGGCACAAGGAGTGAAACGAGAGTCGGGATTCGAGGCGAAAGGGAAAACCTGTTGGTGTGCAGATGCCTCAGAAATCACAGCAGGTACATATTTACGAGCCGCATTTCTCACATGTCCGTCATATTGGAAAATGAATTTACGCGACTCGTAGGCTTCGCAAGCCCAGAACACACTTTCCTCGAAAGTCGTTAAGCAAAGTGGCCAATGGGAAGGGAGAACCCGTCGTGAGCGATTCGTCAGGGGGTTCTTTGGCGATGTGAGAGAGGCCAGAACGAACACTTGGCTCGTCTGCGACGAATTCTTGTCGGCTGCGTGTGTCAGGGTGAAATGGCCGTTCAGCTGAGCAAGGTGAGGTGGGTTGGGCCATTCAGGGGCACAGCGTGGAGAAAGTTACTGGACGGACGACAGCTCAAGCCAGGGGAGGTGCAACTGACGACGATCATGCGACAGTCCAAACCATCAGTGAATGTACGACAGGGGTGGACGATGCTCTGCGACGATCGCCTGGCGACTGACCCCAACTGGGTTGGAGAGGGAGCTTGGGGGCGCGGGAGTTGGTAAATTTTGAAAACCGCTTTGCAAAACCCCCTTACACGTAAGCTCGTGTTAACGCTAAACATCGATTTCACAATCTCAACCAAATCCGCCAATTCAGTTCATCATTCTCTTACACTGGTTGCCTCAGCTAGGCATCATGCAAACAGCCCAATCGCTCTGCTTAATCTTTTCCCTCGTGTACTGGAGTCTATACTCAGAAAATTTCACTAAGAGAATACAGTAATGAAGGTTCATACACAAACCCGGTTCCATACCACTAAGTTACTGACCTTCTTACGGGTAAATGCACATGTCATGCACACAAGTGCACAATCTGTCAACCAGAAGCCACATGTGTTTACAGCTGCCACAGGAATGCACGTAGAGTAACCAAGGGCCACACTTGATTGAGCCTCGAGCTGTTGTGGTGGTCAATCAGCCACGAGGCGACTGAGAGACTCAATAATTTGCCTCAGGTGATCCCGCGTGCTTGGGTCACCAGTGAGGCTGCTGATGTCAGCACTAATGCCCTGCCATGTGCAGGATGAGAATAGCGTGGAGGGCATGGGAGGGAGAGGGGGAGGTGGGATTCAGGGCATGCAGGCGGATAGGACATGTACAGGCACACATGGTGTGAGCTAAGCGTGGACCGTGACGGGTAAGGCGAGATGGGGAATGAAGGACGAACGGAAGTTAAAGCGACGGTGCACATTTGCCACCCAAAACCCAGAACCCTGGCGAACTGTTACTGCGGATGGAAAGTGTCCGCACGAAATCCTGGTTTTCGCCAGCCAGCACTTTCGCGCTGGCAAGCCTGGTTAAAAAAAAAAACTTCTGAACCCAACACTGCCAAAAGTTGCCCGTCGCTTTAAGGTGTGCTTATCTCTGTCCCAACAAACCCCCCCACATTCACCGCACTACAAAAACCTCCACTCTACCCAAAAAATGTTCCATCAATTCTGTCCCGCGTTTCAATGCTTAGGTAAGAGTTCTGGCTCAAGCACCACACAAAGGAACACACAACCATCAAAACAGACACACACACACACCCAGAAGGCCCACTGAGAGGACACACCTCAACGCGCTTGAGCGTCTTAGTGAGTGTGGACACTGACTGCCGCAGCAGGTGTGTTTTGAGCGGACTGTAAACCCTAGTCACACGCATGAGCAGACAGACCCACTCTGACAACGCACCTCGACGTGCTTGAGCGTCTTGGTGAGTGTGGACACTGACTGCCGCAGCAGCTCCGTGTTCTCCTTGGTCAGAATGGAGCTGTTCAGCTGCCTGTAAGGGGAAGGCGCAAGGAAAGGGCGGATGGAATGGAGAAATTTAGAGTTGGGATGACAAAGAGCAGCAAGGTGGCAGCAGCTCTGCGTTTTCCTTGGACAGAATGGCGCTGTTCAGCTGCCTGTGGAGGGAGTTGGCGTGCGGGGAGAGGGAGAAGCACAGGAGAGAGGGGTGGATGGAGTGATGGAGGTTTGGACGGCAGAGAGCAGCACCAAGAAAGAATCCAGCCAGCATGGCGCTTGGGTCAAAATGGAGATGCAGGGAAGAGAGGAGTGAAAAATGCAAGTGGGAGTCATCTAGATGATGTTCTCTTTGTCTGTAGCTCTCCCATCAAGGCTCTTAACTCAGTAACTTTATCATCAACTCCCCTTTGCCTCCCTCCCAGCCACTGCTCCGTTTATTTCCCCACGAATTTCTTCTGCTTTGCCCACTCTCCGCTTCTCATCCACCGAGTTGAGAAGTAATTGTAGCAAAGGCACATATCAGACAGGCGCACATAGCAGGCACACACAGCCAGGCACACACAGCCAGGCACATGCAGCAAGGCACACACAGCCAGGCACACACAGCCAGGCACATGCCGCACAGCACATGCTGAACAGCCCAGCACTCACCTGAGGTCGGAGGCGGCGTCAGAGGCCACCTTGGTGAGCTGCTCGAGGTTCTTCAGAAGGTCGCCCTCGCGCACGTCCTGCAGCATGGGCTCTATGTCCGTCATCAGCGCGTTCACCTGCGACAGGCCAGGTGTGGGGGGGAGAGGGGGGGTTTGGCGCATGGGAGTTCATGGTACACCTCAATGCCATCTACATTGCGTTGACCTTCAGAATAGGAAGATTAGTATTCTCCATCTGGTGTTTGACAGAGTTGGAGATTTCGTGTTGATTACCAGGGTTTGTGACACAGATGGAAGCGCAACAGCAGCAGCAGCACATGATGGGCTAGGTGGAAACAAGGATTGAAAAATGGAAGAGGCGGATGGTAGAATTGCATGGATAGCACAGAAACTACTTGCCTTTTCTAGCAGCGGTCTTGCTTCTTCAGCTAGAGCAGCGAACTTATCCAAAGCAGCGAACATGGTCCCAACCCCCTCCTTGTCCACATCCTTGGCAATCTTTGTCCAATTCGCTATCAGCTCGTCCAGGCTCACGCCTTGCTGTCCTTCTATCCGCTCCCTGTCACACACAATCAACCCCTCCTCACTACACTTGGGATCCAACGGTCCCACTGTGGGCTCTGGCATGGGAGGCATGGGTGTGATGTCGATGAGGGTTTCGCTGATCAGGCCTGTCTGGTTGACTTCGATTAGCGAGTTTCGCGGAATGACGACGTTGGAATCGAGGATCTCCACGACAGCGTCGATTCGCTCCAGGCTCGGCCTGACCCCAACCACGCTCCCCACGTCCACGCCTCGGATCCGAACCGGAGTGCCGACCGTGATTCCGCAGGCTTGGGAGAATTCCATCACCGCTTTGTACCGCGTGGTGCTGGACCGTACTTGAACGCCTTTAATCCAGTTGATAGTCAGGCCGATCAAGAATAATCCGGTCAGGAGAAACAACCCAACGCCTCCTTCCCATATGCTCTTTTTCCCGAAACCGAAATTCCCGAGTGGGCTAACGATGTACTCCTCCCATATGGACCCGAAGAAATCAATCAGAGCTGAAAAAGGGTTCCCTTTATTCGGCTCCGATGCAGGAGCGGAGGCAGCAGCAGCGCTCGCTGCAGTCACGGTTCGGCTTCGCGGTCGACCTGATTCGATACTGTCACATTGGTGAAGAGGGAACGGAGAGCAATGCTCTTTTTGACGAGGAGACGAGAAGCCGCGGAGAGATGTATTGATGTCGCGTGACGGTGGCCATGATGCGGTTGCTCTACAAATTGCTCGCTCTACATAAGCGCCTGATAGCGTTGGAACGTTGCATCGCGCGAGAATGGCTGAGTTAGCCATTGTCTGATGGAATAAAGCCTGGTCAGCTCGACGGCAGTTTTAGGGTAGTCTTATTCCGACGAGAGGCACATCGGCCAGTCTTAAAATTTTCGGAAAGCTTGCAATGTCTTGCTCGTCGTTCTAAGAATCCTCACCGAGGAGCGCTACTAGGTTCGGTTAACGGCTTGGGAGCAAGACCATGGCCAGATGGCAAGCAAACCGAAGGTGGAACGAGGCGAAAACTTGCCTGACGTCAGCTGGTAGCCATTCTTGAGAGTTGTTTGACCAAATGGATCAATATGAAGCGGGTCGTGTTCGAATGTTCACGCTGGTGAGTAACAATTCAAAGCGGTATAAAGAGAAAATCGCTTCAGAGTGCACGAGATCGTACTCAACCGCTTCCACTGAGCAGTAACCGATCTCCTATGACCTGTGCTATTTGTACGGGGATGAAGTGGAGGTTGGTTCGTTGGTAGGTTCAAATGTGGAAATTGAGGAAGTTGGTTTCGCCAGACCAGTTGGGCAACAGCAGCAAATGAGTGCTCGCCAAATGTTTTGGGGAAAGTATGCCACAAGTAACCAACTTGGAACTCGATAACGTGAATGGTAAAACAAAAACGCGTACGGTCACTGTATCGGGTTTTCTGACGGGTTTGGTAAGCGGGGTCACGGATTCAGTCACTAACAACAGGTAAAAAATCACGCGAATGGTCACACATGTAACTCCCGCCAAAAAAACTTGAAACTCAACAAAATTCCCGCTCGCGCCCAACCAATCTGCGAACTTGTAAAAAAACTAAAACCCAATCGGAATCGGATGCGGTTTGGGAACGGATCAGCCCTAAACACCTGGCGAGTTACGTGTTTAGGGTTGATCATCCGAAAATGCATCCAGGTTCTTTCTGGGTTTCATTTTGTTTTGGCGGGAGTTTCATCTGTGACCATTCGCGTTTTTTTTTACCAGCTGATTGTGACTGATTCCGTGAAACGCTTTATCAGTCGCGTGAAAACACCCTTTGCAGTGACCGTACCCTTTATTTTTTTACCAAAAATGTTTTCGAGTCCCATGATGGTTACGAACGGCATATTTTCCCAATGTTTTGGTCCAACGCTACAGCACCAGGGAATTGCCTGCTGCACTGGATGTGGAGGTTGCACAGAAATGGAATTGTTGGACGGAATTGTGTTTCTCAAGTTAGGCCTTAAATGGCTGGGATATATTTATTCCCAAGTTAAACAACACAGAAGCCTTACGGCAGGCATTGCAGGTAAAAAAATATGCACAATTATCCTGACATGCACTTCTCACCCCAAAATTTTCCATTCTTGTTCCCATTCTTGAGGCCATGTAGGCTCTAGATCGAGACCAGCTTCATCATGTGATGGAAGAGCAAGTACTCCTTCATTGTCGATTGTTGTAGCAGCAGTACCGCCTTCATCATCCGTACCACTCACTGTTGTGTCGGCAAATTGACTTCCTTGCCCAGAGGGACATGCTTCAAGGTCTGATAGGGTCACCGATGGGGCAGATGCACCAGTCACAGCCAGAGGCCAGGAAGAATGTTGCTCTGTGAATCCCAGCGCATGCGCAGAAGGAAGTGCCAGGGCAGACATTTGGCCACCTCCATTTGCATCTTGACCTGCAGCTTGAGCTGTTGAGGCAATTGGTAGCTGCGGCATGGAGACTGAATGGTGCAGTGTACCCAAAGGAGCCGGCATGCTGGGCGCTGGAGAGCCCATGACAGTCCCATGGGAGGACATTGGGTTCCACATTGATGTTTGTTGATGACCGAATGCTGGCTGCATGCCAGAAGATGCCGCCACCATGCTGCCGCCAGCAGGAACACCAATGGGAATTGCTGAACCAGGCCCCGTGGATGGACGGTAGCCCATACTTGTTGCAACATGGGCCCAGGAGCCTGGCGGATACGATGACACTTGAACTGGAGAAACCCCCATGGAATAAGGAGAGTGAGGCATTCCCATGGATGGAGGGCGAGGCTGGAGTGGAGATGCCCCTGTTGCCACAGGGACAGATCCAGGAGGGTATCCAGGAACCACCGGCCCAGAGGACACTGGAACCCCCACTGCAGTTGATCCAGGATGAAGAGAGTTGAGTGACATTGAGTGAGGTCGATGCGTTGGTGGAGATGTACCAGGCGAGTAAGATGCGAACTGTGATGATCCGGCGATCATTGTGTGCATGCCTGAAGGTGAAGCAGTTGTCATGACCATTCGTGGCAGACATGATGCCTGAGAGAAGAAAATATAAAAAATTATGGTCAGAAGTCATAGGAGGTAATACGCATCACCAAGTGCAAGAACTGAATCGATTGATGCATTACTTGTTGGATGGGGGAGCCGCTGGTCATTGTTGCAGGGCGCATGGCAATGGTCCCAGGATACATTGCGCTTGATGCGGGATACCCAGCTGGAGCTCCGGACACAACCATGGTCGGATGTGATCCGTTGTACGATCCAGGTTGCATGTACATTGGACCGGAGCCACACACTGAAGGGTTTGCATGCAATGCTCCGTGATGGCTTGGGCCTTGAAACACCATGAAATCCGGAGGCAGTCGAGCTCCAGGCGGAAGCCCGGCCATCCTCTTCAGATACAGACGGTATTTCTGAAATACAGAGAAATGTGGAACTGAGGTTACGTCAGACGCTAATTCAAGATCAAGATCTGAATCAGAACAAAAATATCGTGTGCACGAACCTGCAAATGACTCGCAACGTTCTCCCGGGTCATGCCTTCGACATTCATGAGCTTCAAGATCGTGGTGGGAACTGCATCTGCAGGAAGAGAAGGTTCATTAAATGGCTGAATAACGAAAATCACGTATTGCGAAAAAAGGAGGCAATGCCATTAAAACTCACTCTTGACCCCCAGATGGTTGACTGCACTCATAAAACGCGAGTGCAGCTCTGCTGTCCAGACAAGTCGTGGCTTCTTCGCTGTCCTGACACTGGTTCCTTCCATGTCGCCCTCTGAAGCTTCAACTCCGTCAATCGGTTGATCCGTCCCAGTCGTCTCTTTAGTCCGGTTGCCTTTCGACTCGTCCTCAGGTCCGGCACTTCGTCCAGAAGCTTCCATGCGATTTGATGGTTCAGTATTCCCGGTGCTCGCAGCAGGTTCATTCTTGACCTTCGTATGCGGCTCTTCAACGCTTGGCTTACGCTCTCCTGGTTTCTCGTCGTGACCAACAAGCTGGCTTCCATCAGGACACATCTCCGTCGACCGCTGGTCTGCATCGCTCCCTTCAACAGGGCTAGTTTGAGTTTCTGCCTCGTCACTCGACCTCGATATCACAGGTAGAAGCGCTTCATCGGCTGACCTCTTGCAGCTCAAGGTTTGCTGTTGAGTACTGCACATTCCCTCCAACCTGATGGCAGAAATCATGGATACAACGAGAACAAGAAACTTGGCTGCAGTCAGAAAGTGGCATGAAGAGAAGGGAGCGGCGATATACGAGCAGCTCAACGCTGTAGCTCCCTTACCTGAATCCCAAACTGTCTCCAGTTTCCTATCTCACGCATTCTGGTGCAATTTGGCAGGTGATGGCCATGTCAAGGGTGCATTCGCACCCAATGACAGTTGTGAGTTCAATGAAAGTAGAGGACTCTGGTTCTAAGCAGCGGCGGTGGATGTTGACTGGGACAGGAGGAAGATTTTGTTCAGACTCCCTATCCACCAGATGCCGCTGTGGTTGATGCTAACTGTGAGGAGTTGCAGATGATCAGTGTGTATTGGAAGCGCAAAAGCGCAATGAAGTGCTCGCTGAGCAGCGAGAGGCCAGCGAATGTGACCTCGGATAAACTGACTCTCAGAACAAAAAACTGTCGAGTCAGATACTGGCTGGAGGAAAGCCTCTGATAGAAACCAGCGTGAGTAGCTGTCGCTGGCTAGGTAGGGAATGCTAGACGTAAGGAAAGGCACTGGTGCTCCAGGTCCCGAACCGCAGTTATTCGAGAGCCATGGAGCCCAGGCTGGGAGCAGAAGACAAGAGCCAGGCTCAGGAGAAGGGAGCCCTGCCTGACCCTGGGCCTGGCAGAGGCTGGCCTGGCTAGCTCAGGGAATTCCGAGAGAGCTAGGCTCAGCAGCACCAGCAGAACCCAGCGAGCAGCACGTGAGCGGGCAGGCAGTACCAGGGAGAGGGGAAAAGGGGCAATGTTTCTCCCTTGGGAATTGGCTGGGCCTGGTGCGTGGCTCCCTGGTCCGTAGCTGGGCTCCCTCGAGAATTGCTGTGCTAGCTGGCTGGGTAGGGGGGCTCGAAGCGGGAATTGCAAATGGTAAGTGTTTTGGCGAAACTACCCCCTGCTGAAGCTCGTATCTCAAAGTGCAATCTTGGAAATATCCCGCGTGGCAGTACGTCATTCGACAGCGAATTACACTCTGGTCGTGGCGAGGCACGTAGAGTGAAATGCCTATCCAAATCAACACCAGTCCGTGGAAATCCGACGCAGGAACTGTTCATCTTATCTGATAAAGTGGCTCCCGTTTGACTTACTCGTACCACTCATGATTGGAAATGGTACGGTATGTGAAATTGTCAACACATTTGTTGAGACATTTCATATATACATACAATGCCACCATTTCCTTCCCCCTTTTACATAAAAGTTACAACAGTTCGCAAGATGAACAAAACATTTTGCATTAATCGTAGATGTCTTGAACCGCGATTGTACTCTGCTGCCTGCATATTCAAGAAAAAAAGAGTTAATAATCAGCACTTCCAATCCTTCGATCAAGGGCATATTTTATCAGTGTAAATTATACTGCTATATTGATGAGAAGGGTGTTTTTTTGGGCTTGCACTGATGTGTTTGGGTAATTTTTTTTAGGATTAGTGTAACACTGATTTGAGAATGAAACGATTTAGGCCGCACTGATGCTCTCGGGTAAATTTTCCCTTAGCGAAGATTACCCTTACGGCATACAGGGGACCGAAATCTGTCGGAACGTGATTTCCGTCAATCGCGCAAGTACCGAAGCGGCCTTCCCTGGAGTAAGTGCGTAGGCAGCAGTCATGTGTCTAATTGGTCACGTTTTTATGTTTCGGTTCGGTATCCAGCACGCCAAGGAAAGGAATCTTGGCATCACGTACAGTGATGCTGCCTGAACTTAGTCAATATGTATCTGCGATAAGGGTACACAATGTTACCACACTGATGCTCTGGGGTAAAATTTCTGAAACTCATTGTTACACTGATGTATCAGTGTAACAAAAAATTACACTGATCAGAAGGGTTTTGAAAAAGGCTACACTGCTAATAGGAGTAGCCAAAAAACAAACATAGGCCCTGCTTCGAACCCATTTCATTCTCACCTTTCATTCTTTGAAATGCGGTAGTAGTGATCTGCATGCTCCTTTCGCCCAATCATTTCCGCGAAAGTCTCATCGTGAGTAATGACAATCAACTGAAAGTTCTCCTGACTTCTTCTCTCCTCCATTAGTCTGCACATAAGCACAAACAAGGAAAGCGAGTGAACAAAATGAGCCGAGTTGATCAGAGCAAACAAAAACGAGGTGAGCAAAACCAAGAGGCAGCGAGTCAGTGAGCCGACCTGTTCAAGGCCCTTGCAAGGCTCTCAGCATTGGGAGCGTCAAGGTTGGTGGTCGGCTCATCCAAAGCGAGAATGCCGCAGTTGAGGCAAAAGGTCTCGGCCAGTGCAAGGCGGATGATGAGAGATGCCAGCACCTGATAGCCATAGAAAGGACGACCACAGAGTGCACAAACATGAGGAAGGGTGAACGAACATGAGGGACAGCAGGCATCATGAGGATAGAGTTGGTTGGTGTTGGTGAATTAAGAAACTCAGAAATCACAAGCTTGGAGGACAGGGTGACAACAGCAATGGAGACACTCTTTGTGTACTGCAAGTGGAGAAAATTCACGAGCACTCTACCTTCTGGCCAGCACTGCATCGTCCACGCATGTCCAGCTCAGCATCACCACTGCGCATCACCACCTGCCAGGCAGCACCACGCACGCACACACACACACGTTACCCCCAAACTCCTCCACCCACCCCCATTCCCCCACACACGGACACAATTGACAGCATCTAGTGAGTTCACTGACCATCAGCATGAAGATACCAAGAGCTACACATGCAGCCTTTCATGCATAACGCTGCAGAACATGTTGTTGGTGGCACACTTCTGAGGCGCCTCAAAATGCATGCTGTGGGTGGCACACATCCTGTAGTCAATGTCGTGGCCTCGGGCGCGCTATATTTACCCCACCTTTTGCAAGACTAAGCCATGAACTTCGCTCACCCTGTAGGAGTACGAGCGAGTCCCGGCTCCTTCCGCGTCGGAGCAAATCTCAACGTAGTCGATGTCGTGGCCTCGGTGCGTCTGCTGCCACAGCTGCCTTTCATGCTGCGTATGCTGTGGATGGCACACACCCTGTAGCAAACAAGCTATGTCTACCCCATATACTGCAACAATAAGTCATGAACGTCCCTCACCCGGTAGGAGTACGAGCGTGTCCCCGCTCCTTCCGCATCGGAGCGAATCTCAACATAGTCAATGTCCTGGCCCCGGTACGTCTGCTGCCACAGCTCCTTGATGATCTTGTTGATCTCCTCCATCTTCATCGCATGGAACCGCATCAAAGCCCTGGAAACGTGACCAGGCAGACGAACACACAAAAAATCACCTCCATTATGTCCTCGATGTCCTAAATTATTCCACGTTTTGGAATATCCTGCTACAATGCATGATTGTCCTGGAGAATTCATGACTCCTTCATCCCCATTCTGAATCACAAGGTTCTCATTCCTCACGTGGAAAAATATTCAGATCATGCACAGCAGAGGTTTCAGGGAAGATGCATACTGCCTATGCCGGTGTTGTAAGAACGTCGAAAGGGCCAAGATGGCCCTTGAGTCAAATAAAACATGAAAGCTTCAAGATACGGGCTTGTTACTTACTTGTCCAGTGCGTTATAGTATTTATCAATGTCCCGGTTTGCCATCTCTGTCGTCTGCAGAAGTGCAGGACAATATCAGACAACAGCAAGTGGGGGAGAGACAGGCAGGGATTATAAATCCAAGCAAACGGGTGAATAGTGAGGGCAATGAGATGAGAGGGACGAACAAGTAAGAAGTCACTTTGTGCCATTCCAACGCTTGCATTCTCGGTTTCAGCCAAACAGACTTGTTTATGTATATAAGTACACATACACATCATTTCTCACCTTGAGTTGGATGAGCTGCTTCTTGTGCCGGCTAACAATGTCTCTGAACTGCAGTGCCTTCAGCTCTGTCTCTGCGCGTCGAATGCTCGCCTCATGCACTGACACCTTGCCCCGGCTGTGGTTTTGCTGTGAGGGGGAGAGACGTGGAGGTGGGTGAGGTAAGAGAGGTGTGAGGAGCGGTGAGGAATGGTGCAAGTAACTTAAGGGGAGTGAGATGAGTGAGGCTTGGGAGAGCTGGATGCTCGCCTCATGCGCTGCCACCTTGCCCTGGCTGTGGTTGTGCTGTGAGGGGGAGAGATGTGGGAAGTAAGAGAGGTGGGCGAGGTGAGAGAGGTGCGAGGGGCGGCGAGATGACTGAGATGAGTGCAGTGAGAAGTGGTGAGAAATGGTGAGAGTGATGGGAGTGAGGTGAAATGCGGTGAGAGTTATGTGAGCGAGGTGAAAAGCGGTGAGAGTGATAAGGAAGCAATCAAGGCCGAGAACTGTTCACCTCAGCAGCAAGCCCATCAATCTCCTCCCTCACGGCCCTCACCTCCTCCTCCAACTCCCCCACCCTCCCCACCCGCCCCATCTCCTCCCTCAGCCTCTCCACCTCTCGCCTCACCCCCTCCTCCTCCCTCTCCATCCCTCGCAACACCAGGATCGCCTCCACATTGCGCTTCACAGCATCCTGGCTGCGCAGCATCTCCCTCTCCTCCGCCTCCTTCCCGCTCAGCCGCTGAATCTCCTGCTCGTTGCTCGCCTGCCGCACCTGCCAATGCTGCAGCCGCTTCCATGCTTCTGCCAGCCGCTGCTCCTTGTTGGAGGCAATGTAGCTGGTGGGGTGGGGCAGGTGGAGAAGGGTGGTGGGAGAAAGATGCACTTTTGAGTGCTCTCAAGAGTGATACGGCCTGTTGCTGCTCCTTGATGGAGGCATTGTAGCTGGTGGGGTGAGGAGAGGGGAGGGGAAAGGGTATGGGAAGGGAGGGGAGGGGAGGGGGGAGGGGAAGGAATGGGATCGGCGGGGAGGGGAGGGGGGAGGGAAAGGGAACCTTCCCACGAGCCCCAAGGGGAAACGTCATTGTTGGAGGCAACATAGATGGTGATGTGAGGGGCGAGGAGAAAAGAAGCTGACTTTGAGTCGACTCAAACGTCATTGTTGGAGGCAACATAGCTGGTGATGTGAGGGGCGAGGAGAAAAGAAGCTGACTTTGAGTCGACTCAAACGCCATTGTTGGAGGCAACATAGCTGGTGATGTGAGGGGCGAGGAGAAAAGAAGCTGACTTTGAGTCGACTCAAACGTCATTGTTGGAGGCAACATAGCTGGTGATGTGAGGGGCGAGGAGAAAAGAAGCTGACTTTGAGTCGACTCAAACGTCATAGTTGGAGGCAACATAGGTGGTGATGTGAGGGGCGAGGAGAAAAGAAGCTGACTTTGAGTCGACTCAAACGTCATTGTTGGAGGCAACATAGCTGGTGATGTGAGGGGCGAGGAGAAAAGAAGCTGACTTTGAGTCGACTCAAACGTCATTGTTGGAGGCAACATAGCTGGTGATGTGAGGGGCGAGGAGAAAAGAAGTGGAAGGCAGAACGATGTATCAGCAGCCTGCTACCCTGCCCCTGCGACCGTGCTCCATGGCATGGCATCATACCCCTGTAACCTATACCCTACCTTATGGAACAATACCCTCCGAAACGCCTTTCACCACACTCACTTGTTGATCTTCATGAATATCGCTCTCGTACCATCAAGGTCCCTCTCCATGCCCCTCACCCGCCCCTGCATCTCCGCCTCCTCCGCCCCTGCCTTCTCCCGCCACACCCTCCGCCCCTCCACCGCCTCCCCATGCTTCTTCCTCAGAGGACCCATGTTGCGCTCAAGTGCCTGGTGATGGCAGGGGTGCGTGAGGGTGGGGGAACGGGTTAGCGAGAGGGCATTGGAGCCTATGGCCGACATAAGTGCAGGTAATAGCTCACACCCTTCACCCATAGACTGCCTTCCCCATGCTTCTTCCTCAGAGGCCCCATGCTGTGCTCAAGTGCCTGGTGATGGCAGGGGTGGAGGAAGGCAGGGGAACGGGTTAGCAAAAGGGCTTGAAACCTAGGGCAACAGAAGCGCGGCTATTAGCTCACACCCTCCGCCCCTCCACTGCCTCCCCATGCTCCCCATGTTGCGCTCAAGTGCCTGGTGATGGCAGGGGTGGAGGAAGGCAGGTGAGTAAAGGACAGGAGAAGAGAAGATTGGCAAGGGAGTGCGACAGAGGAACAATCACTGAGCAAATAAATCGGGTAACACGGCTCCCTCATTCTCCCTCCACACCTTCCGCCCCTCTACCGCCTCCCCATGCTTCTTTCTCAAAGGCCCCATGTTGCTTCCCCCTCCCCACCTGTTCTCCCATGCTTTACACATCTCAAGAAACAGCGCTCACCTGTATCTCCAGCTTGCTCCCTTCAATCGCCACCTCCAGCTGCCCCACCTCCTCCTCCATCTCCCGCCGTCTTGCCACTCTCAGTGCCATCTGGGCCTTCTCCTCCCGCGCCCCCCGCCACCTGTTGCTGGCTGCCGTAGCTTCGTCCTTCAGTGCTGCGTGCTCCTCCCTCAGCCGCTCCACATCCCCTGCTGCTGCATCCCTGCAGTACAGCACATGAAGATCACAGGACAAAAGACCAAAGGGGATTATAACAGTGAGGCGCCTCAAAGGTCTGTCCCCTGCCACCTGTTGCTGGCCGCTGCTGCCGCATCCTTCAGTGCTGCATGCTCCTCCCTCAGCCGCTCCACATCACCCGCTGCTGCATCCCCGCAACGCAGAGTACCACAGCCACAGGACTGAGGGAGCGTAGCGAGGGGTATGGGATTGACTTGAGGATAAACTCTTGAGCACCTAACCTTGAATAATCGCCACCTTCCCCATCATTTTCTCAACTCCCCTTTCCCCTCTCTCACATCTTCTCCTCCACAGCAGCCAGATCGGCATTGACATCCGCCGGCGAGCGCATGGCCCGGGAGAGCGTGTCCAGGCGCTACTCCAGCTCCTGCACCTCCTCCCCACCTCCCTCATCCTCCGTACCTAAACCCAGAACCCTGCAGCAGCAGCAGCAGCAGCAGCAGCAGCAGCAGCAGCAGCCTCACCTCTTCACTTCGGCAGCAGCTAGGTCAGAATTGACATCAGCCAGCGAGCGCATGGCCTGGGAGAGCGTGTCAAGGCGGTACTCTAGCTCCTGCACCTCCAATTCACCATTCTCTGCCTCCTTCCTCACCCTCTCCGCGTCCTTTACTATCCCCTCCACCCGCCCCGCTGCGTCTAGCTTCGCCTTGGCCTCTGCCAGCAGGCACAGCAACTGCAAAGAGTAAGAGAGGGGTGGGGGGAGGAGGGCGGAAGGGGGTTGGGAAAGAGTAAGAGATGCATGGGGAGGAGTCAGCCACGTTGCAAGGTGCCAGTATGAACAAGATATGAGACCATGCTAAGGAAGCATGACAGGAATGATCATGAGTCATGACAGGAACACATGGGTGTGATAACGGCACACAGTACCATAGGGAGGGAACGCACACAGAATGCGGATTAATGGGACACTGCAACGTCACTCACATTCTCATGGTTCTCCTGTGCCTTGCTCTGGGCCTCTTCCACGTGGCCCACTACCACCCTGGCACGTGGCACCAGCTCATCCACCAGCTTCCTGTACTCGTTATAAACAGGATGCAGGTCATCCAGAATCCCCAGCTGCTGCGCAAGCCCTTCCCGCTGCCGCTTATACTCCGCCTCCTTATTCCCAGCATCTCTGTTCATGGTCCTGATTTTTTTCACAAAGTGTTCCTCCTCTGCTGGGGTAAAGCCTCTATCACACGTGGGGCAGCAGTGGTTGCGCTGAGCCCGTAGCTCAAACTGTGCCACAAACTGCTTCATTCCCACAAATGTCTCGTACGTCCTGGGAGCAGGGGGAGGCAGACAGGTGTGCAAGGAGAATGTAGAGTGGTGTGGAAGGGTGTAACGGATGATCATGGAGTTTGGGGGGGAGTGGGGCGTTGCGATCTTGCTCCAAGCATTTGAGCACGCACACAACCTCATACTAACCCATGCAACCATAACGATGCACCCGCACGCTCATGCACGCACTTACCCAATAGCATCCTCCACCGATGCTACCCCCTCACTCTTTCAAGATCGTCCACAGCAATTTTTTGGGAGAGTGGGCCAAATTGGCATCACGCATGCACCCTAACAAAGCAACCATGCACGCACGCACCCATGCACGCACCAATGCACGCACCCATGCACGCACATGCACGCACGCATGGACACACACACACACCGATGCACCCATACCCTCATCCACACACACACACACACACACACACACACGCCCATGCACTCACCCAATAGCTTCCTCCAGCGCTGTTCTCTTCTCCCCTCGTACTCTGTCCAAATCGTCCACTGCAAGAGATGGGTCCACTGCCTTGCTCAGTCGTGTCTGGATCAGGACTCGCTTGGCTGAGCGGCAGGGTGGGGAGGGATGGGAAGCGATGGGGAGAGATGAGAAGGGATAGGACGAGATGGGGAGGGATGCAGACACAACAACAAGGCAATATGGATGTCCACTGCAAGAGACGGATCCACTGCCTTGCTCAGACGCGTCTGGATCAGCACCCGCTTGGCTGATAAGGGGGAAAATGAAGGACATAGGGATAGGACGGGATTGGAGGGGATGGAGAGGGATGGGGAGGAAATATAAGACAGAAGGGTTGGTAGCGGAGAGGACAGATGGGTTCAATGCGGTGCTGAGGCAGGGTTGCTTGGCTGGGGAAGGGATGGACACTGAGAAAAAGGGACAGGACGGATCGGAGCCAACGCTGCCCGGCCGCTACAGCTGTAACGCTGCCTCATGCCCGCCTCCTTTTCTCCTACTGCTGCTGGTCCTAAGCTCACCCAACCACACCACACCGTGCTGCACCGCACTGAACCACTCACTATCCATCTCATTGCTGTGTTTGTTGAGCTCGCTCCGCGCATGGTCCAGCCGCTGCTGCTGCACTGCTGCCTCGTTGCCCGCCTCCTTGGCTTTCACATCTGCCTCCTCATACACCACTCGCTGCGCCCTGCAAGTGTACACACATTTAGAGAGGTCCAAGAAGGAAGCGGTTGGGGGTGGAGGGAGAGAGAACATGGGGAGAGAGCGGGATGGAGAGGCACAAGGGGAGGGAGGTCGGGCCACTCGAACCACACGAACTTAGGCACAAAACCGTACACTGCAGCAAGAACCCTTACTCCTCCCCCAGGGGCCCACACCCCTACCCTTGCGCCCCCCCCCTCCCCTTCCACCCCACCCCTCCTCTTGCACCTGACCTCACACTCCACACCCCTTCACCTTGCGCCCCACGCACCTGATAGCCTTTTCAACCTCCCAGAGGAGCTTGCTTGTGTCTGACGGCATCTCGGCACCCAACACCTCCTCTATCCGCCTCTTGTTCTCTGCCAGCCTGCATGGCAGATGAACGTTGGGAAGAAGAGACGTGGACGATGGAGCGTAGTGACAGGCGGAAAAGAAAAGAGGAAATAAAGTTTAAGAAGACGTGAATAAGGGAGGGAGGGAATAAGGGAGGGAAGACGTGAATAAGGGAGGGAGGGAGGGAGACATGGTAAAGAGTAGCAGTGAGAGGAATGGGGCAAGAGAGGGAAGCATGAACAGAGGGAGAAGGAGACAAGCGGGCAGTGAGAAGGGGGTTGGGGGAGGGGGAGAAAGCGGGGGAACAGAGAGGAACGAAGTGCAAAACGAGCCATGCAGAATGCAGTACCACGAGCCGAATCACACCGAGAACTCACAGCTTCTTCAGCTGAGCCTCCTTGTCCCTGACCGTCTCCTGCTTCAGCCTCAGAGTCACCCTCTCACTGCTCTCTGCCGCCAAGCTGTCCTTCTCCCGCTGAAGGGCCTTGAGCCGCTGCTCCTGCCGGCTCAGATCCGTTTTGGCGTCCTCCAGGTTGGAGAGGAGAGTGGGGTCTCGCAGCTTGGTTGCCAGCCTGTCCGCCTCTGCTTTCTGAATGAGATGGGACAAGTGTGCCAACACACAGTCACTGTGAGTTGACTAGAAGGTTGCTTGCTTCCGCTCCTGCAAGTGTGGGGTCTCGCAGCTTGGTTGCCAGCCCGTCCGCCTCTGCTTTCTGAATGAGATGGGACAAGTGTGCCAACACACAGTCACTGTGAGTTTACTAGAAGGTTGCTTGCTTCCGCTCCTGCAAGTGTCTCGCAGCTTGGTTGCCAGCCTGTCCGCCTCTGCTTTCTGAATGAGATGGGACAAGTGTGCCAACACACAGTCACTGTGAGTTGACTAGAAGGTTGCTTGCTTCCGCTCCTGCAAGTGTGGGGTCTCGCAGCTTGGTTGCCAACCTGTCTGCCTCTGCTTTCTGCATGGGATGGGAATAGTGTGGCAACACATGGTCACTGCGAGTTGACTAGAGATTAGCCGCTGCTTCTGCCGGCTCAGGACAGTCAGAGAGATGGGTCACGTTTGGCTGGCTTCCAGCCGATCAACCTCTGCTTCCTGCACGGAATGGGAGTAGGGTGCCATGCCAGCACACACAAGGGCAGGGGCTTGTTTTGAGTCGACTCAAAACATCGCACACGGGATGGGAGTAGGGTGCCATGCCAGCACATACAAGGGCAGGGGTGAAGCCCTAAACGAGCAGTGCGGGATGACGTTTTGTAGGGCTTCACCCAACGGTAGGTGCACGTGGCGTTTCACTCCAACAAGGTGGTAAGAAGGCAGTGGGAGAGGAGGGAGACAGCAGGGGGAGCACATGAAGACCGGAGGAGAAGAAAGAACGGAAAGGTAGATGACTTGTGTAGGGTGGTGGTAGGTTAGGTGGCTTGTGTAGTGGAGGAAAGGCAAGGCAGCAGGGGATTAGAGGCCTAGCATAGGGTGGGTGGTAGAGGCCTAGAGCTGGGACAGTGGAAGGCCTTACCGATTTCTTTTCTTCTCGCTCCAGCCGTGCCATGCCATCCTCGTCCACACTGCTGCTCTCCATCGCCTCCTGCACCTGCTGCCTCCTCGCCTCGCTGCTCCTCTGCCCAAGGCACACACCACAACCGGCAAAAAAGCACTAGGTATTACAGCAGGCGCACAGGAATCACATTAACGAATCGTGACTCGTGAGCCACATGAGTCAGATGGTAAACGAGAACCAGGAAATTTCAACACGCTGCCAACTTCAAATCTATAACCCCCCTATCTATCTCCAACTCAAACTCCCCACCTCACCTTTCTCTCCTGCGCCATCTGCAGCTGCCCCTCCGCCTTCACAATCTCAGCTCCAGCAGCCTCAATCTCCGCCCCCCGACGTCGCTCCTCCTCCTGCTGCCCCCGCTTCATCTCGTCCCACTGCTCCTGCAGCAGTGTCAGCCTGCTAGCTGCGCGCGTGCCCAGCTGCACCGCCTGATCGCTTGCCAGGGGCACGGGACCTACGTCTCCCAGGTCGTGCTTGCTGAACAGCTCCTGCAGGCACCTGTCGCGCTCGTTGCAGTCCCTCTCGTGCACCTGAGAAAGAAGGGCGGTTGGGATCGAGAGAAAAGCCTACGTTCAATGCTCGTCCCTTACAACCATTGTTTCTCTCAAAAAACAATACATCAAGCGCGTACCTCTTTCTCCACTTGCAGGCGGCTGACCAGCTGCTTGTCCCTCTCGCTGCTAGTGAGACGAATTTGGAGGTACAACACATACACGACATGCAAGCAAGCAAGCAAATGAGCAGGGCGCACCTCTTTCTCCACTTGCAACCGGCTGACCAGCTGCTTGTCCCGCTCGCTGCTCTCCCTCTCCGCCTCCTGCTGAATCCTTAGCTCGCTCAACTCCCGTGTGGTTTTCGCCAGGCTGCCCTCCAGCTTGGCCACCACGCCCTCAAACTCCCGCTGCCACTCTTCCAACTTCTCGTCCGACTCTGCAAGGGGTGAGATGGGAAATTGGTTTTGGTCACTCTTAGGAGCTTGTTTGGGTTGACACAGAGGCCATCCCGCGGCCACTCTTCAAGTTGCTCATCTGAATCTGTTCGAGGACACAACGGGGGATTGTGCTGAATTCTTAGCTCGGTTAGCTCCCAGGCTGCCCTCCAGCTTGGCCACCACGCCCTAAAACTCCCGCCGCCACGCCTCCAGCTGCTCGTTTGAGTCTGCTCGGGGCCAGATGGAAGGGGTTGGTTTCGGCTGACGCAGGGAGTTTGGTTTGGGCCAGCTCAAATGTCACCTCTCCACCTTCGCCGCCACGCCCTCAAATTTCCACCGCCACTCCTCCAGCTGCTCGTCTGAGTCTGCTCGGGGCCAGAAGAGATGCAGGTGAGGGCTTGAGGAGGTGAGGGCATGTGGGCGCGAGGGCATGAGGGCCTGAGGGCTTCAGGTCACAAACACTCGCTTCCCAAACGGCACGTCATATGACTCTGACCGTCATATGACTCTGAGAGGCTGTTGGAATACCTTTGTTGCACTCGGCCTCTACACTGACAATGTTACTTCGACTGTCAAGGATAATCGAGAAAGTAATGGTCATTTGCCCTCATTGCCGGATACGATGTTTGCAAGCTGCTGCACCTTCTGCCGTGATAGCAGCTCCAGGAAAGCCATTGGCGATACACTGGTAGCCGCAACAATGCTTTCCTCTTAATCGATCCTAACCCTTGGGGATATTATCTAGAAGATTAGCCATTTACCATCATTGTCTGACATGATGTTGGCACGCTGCTGCACCTTCTGCCGTGACAGCAACTCCAGCCGCCCCTCCTGCGTCTGCAAATCCGCCTTCAGCTGTCTCAACCGCGCCAGACCGCTCTCCACCTCCCCCTGCCGCACCCGTCGCTCCGCTATCTGCCCCTCCAGCCTTTCGATCTGCGCCACCAGGCGCTCTGAGTGGCCCGAGTCTGCCTTTATGCCCTCCTGCAGCTGCTTGCACGGAACGAGGAGAGACAAAGAGATTTCAAGAGATATGTGGAAGGAGGTGGAGGATTGACAGTAAACGCAGAGAAACTTGATCAAATTCATCCTAATTCAAAGGAATGAAGGTATTTCATTGCGCCTCACTCTCAGACGGTATTTTATGCAGTTGACACGCCACGCACCCGCAAGGACGTGTCGAGTAAGTTCCTGAGGTTCTCCGCCTTGAGCTTCATCTCCTTTATAAGCTGCGCCTGCTCCTTGTGTACCTTCTTCAGTGCCTCCAGCGCCTTAGTGTACCTGACACACAACACAGAAAGACATCATCAAACTTCTGCTCAGCAAGCAGCTGCTTAGCTGCAAACCTGCTTTTGCAGGGTCAGTCACATCACTGCCAACCTACTTGGTGGCAGAAAAGATATCGTCGAACTTCTTCTTGAGCAGCGCGGGCTCAGCAAGCGGCCAGTTGGCGTCGTCCTGGTGCACGAAGATCACGTTCTCCAGCACCGCCTTGGGCACGCCCATCAGCAGCGGGATCTCCCGATCCATGTCCGCACACCGGTAGCTCAGAGAGACGCGCTGGAGGGAGGAGAGGGGAAGGGGGGAGCGCAAGGTGTGGCTTGCATGTGAGTTGGCTCATTGGCCGATCAGCAGCGGGATTTCCCGGTCCATGTACACACAGCGGTAGCTCAGAGACACACGCTGGTGGGAGCAGGGGAGGGGATGGGGAAGAATGTGGCCGCACAGAGAGAAGTCGACGGTTACTAGCACATCAGCGGCAAAACCTCATAATCCATGTCTTCACAGTGGTAGCTCAGAGACATGCGCTGGAAGATCAAGGGAGCGGAGGAAGGGGAAAGGTCTCCTGTGGTGCTGCTGAGGGTCTGCAGAACGTTCTTTTTGGGTATGAACTGTCACCCTCTCTGGTGCTGTTCGTGGTCTGCACCAAGCTTTCAATCGCCTTAAAATCCATGTCGCTATGCATGTGTTGTGTATCCTCCACGCAACAAGCAACTCCCATAAATCAGCAACCTCTACTGCTGCTACGCACCTCGCCAGTGGTGCTGTTGATGGTCTGCAGTGCGCTCTCAATGGCTCCAAACTGCCACCCTCTCCTGGTCTCCTGTCACTCATCCTCCCACCCAGCTCTCCCATTCTCCACCCCCGGCAGCATACCTCGCCTCGCCAGTGGTGCTGTTGATGGTCTGCAGCACGCTCTCAATGGCCTTGAACTCCATCTTCCTCTGCCTCTGAAGCGTATTCATCAGCAATTCCTTTGTATCAATCCCTGACGCTATAACACACCTCGCCAGTGGTGCTGTTGATGGTCTGCAGCACGCTCTCAATGGCCTTGAACTCCATCTTGCTGGTCTTCTGTGTGAGTGAGAAGTTGCGTACGCTCACCACGTCCTTGCCCGCAGCTGTGCGGAACCGCAGCTTGATCTGCCCCTTGGTCTCCGTTATATGCGCGACCTGTCAGCACCAGCACGGGAACGTGGAAACAGAAGTGCGGGCATGAGCTTGTGTGGGCTCAACACGTCCTTGCCTGCTGCTGTGCGAAACCGTCGCTTGATCTGCCCCTACGGCTCCGTTGTATGCGCCACCTGCCAGCAGCAAGAATAGATAGACAGAAGTGTAAGCCGTGATTTGCGTCATCTCGCCTTGCCATGGCCAATGTCCTGACTTGATGAGGTGTGTTGTCACCACCATGACTGGCACATGGACTTTTGAGTTTAGCATGACCAAATGCAGCATGACTGACACCTGCGGGAAATCATCGAAACCGTGTATCACAATCAGCTGAAATGTACGATTATAAAATTCCCTGATTCCATCCAGACAACTTTCCCCTGCAGCAGCATGAGTCATGACGGACCTTGGAGACATGGATGAAAGAGTGGCCAGATGATATTTGAGGCACCTCAAAACTCTTTCAGACAAACCGTCCACTGCAGCAGCCTGGGCCATGACCGACCTTGGGGTCGTGGATGAAAGAATGGCCGGATCGAGCGTTGGGAGGGAGCTCTCCCGTTGTTGCACACTTCAGGCACTCTATGATAGTCTGCATGGATGGATCAAGAAGCAGGCAGATACACACAGCGCAAAGATTCGGATTCTGCACAATTGAAATGCAAACGAAGCTGCATGAAGAACAACGAAGGGCTGTCAGGATTAAAAAAAAGGCAGTACATCGTGATCAGCTACAGCCTGAACCTGTAATCTGGGAATTGACAAAGACGAAGGTGCGAAATATGTTCGGCCAATTATAAAACGCGACTCCCTTACGGTTTTTCCGGCTCCGTTAGGACCGACGATGAGGGTGAGCGGCTTGAAGAATGTGATGACTGCTTGGTTCTCCGGACTGAAGCTCCGGATGCCCTTGATCAGCATCTTATCAACGGTGCACATGGCTGCAAATACTGACGGCCTTCTGGCCAACCGCCTGCGTATGATAGTCATCATGAGTACACAAGGATTCACACGGATTCGGTGCGTGCTTTGAAGAAATCAGTCTGCGATCCAAAGGAATAGACAGGAGCGAACACGAGTACGAGATAAAATCTTACAATATGCAAGGTTACGTCTTCAACCGGTGCTGAAAGTATAAACCGTTTGTAAACTTCGAGAAATCTGATAACGACCGTACGAGCATTTACTGGTTAATAGTGCTGATGATTCTGAACGTTTGTACCGACGTTATAGCAACTGCCGCGAAGCACAGAGATAAGATTGCTGAAGCTGGCCTGTCGCTACTCTTCTGTGACTCATGTGTTTCAAATCCGCAATCTAGAGGTGCTTGCAGGTCTAGAAGACAGACACACACCAGCGACGAAACGTGGAAATGTGGCGATGTATTCTCGATGTTGTACCAAGTGCGAAGCAGCTTTTCTACTAGGATCATCCCGCGGAATTTATGTTCCTTCCATAGCAAAACTCCAAGAGTGGCTGATTCGTGCTCTACAAGTCTTGAAAGCATTAAAGCGACGGGCAACTTTTGGCAGTGTTGGGTTCAGAAGTTTTTTTTTTGAACCAGGCTTGCCAGCGCGAAAGTGCTGGCTGGCGAAAACCAGGATTTCGTGCGGACACTTTCCATCCGCAGTAACAGTTCGCCAGGGTTCTGGGTTTTGGGTGGCAAATGTGCACCGTCGCTTTAAGGGCCAGAAACAGACAGACAATTTCGAGGTATGGTATAGTCATGAATTCGTTACATGGTACAGTAAAATTCTTATTTTCTTCCAGCTGTTTAGCTTGTGTGCAAAGCTACCCAACTTTCTGTACTCTTGGGAATTGAAATGCAGGAATGGATGAATTCAAAACAATGCAGGTGTGTACGTAGGAAAACATTGCAGCACGGTTTGATCATTCCAGCCCGTATTTCGCATGGAATTCCAGGATAAGTCGATTTGTGTGGGCTATCTACGACAGGCGGAGCGACATCAATCGACAAATAGCCAACCTGCCAGCCCGCCAGCTTGCACTCCCTTGGACGAAGCGCTCACTTGGACCAAGCGCTCACTTAGACCAAACATGCACTTGGACCAAGCTTGCTCTTAGACAAAGAGCTCACTTGGACCAAGCGCCCTCCTCGACTAAGCGAGCGCTCACTTTGACCAAGCGCTCACTTGGACAAAACACTCACTTGGATTAGGTGCGCACTTGGACCAATCGCTCACTTGCAGGGCCTATGATTCACTTTTAGGCACATTAATGCATCAGGGTCCCGCTGTGTACAATCTCTTATTGGCAGTGTAAAAAAAAAAAACACAAAAAAAAAAAAAGCCTGAACATTCAGTGTTACTTTAAAAAAAAGTCTGATGCATCAGTGTTGTCAGAATATTATGCTCTAGCCTGTAGTGGGGTGCTCTATAGCGAGTACAACCCTTCTAGGGTTTGCTATTTGTATCCTCATTCTTGCTAGTGCAACCCCTCTTCTTCCTACTATTCTAACATGCTATCAGAGCAGGTCGATCCCCTTGGATCGATCCTGTGGGTGGTCTTACCACCTCGTTGCTTCCGCTGCAACTTCCACTGCTACCCTCTGTGCCGCACGCCCCGTGGCGTGCGGCAGTTTTTCTTCCCGCCGTGCGCCCCGAGGCGCGCGGCGGTTTTCTGCCTGCCGTGCGCCCCGTGGCGCGCGGCGGTTCTCTGCCCGCTGTGCGCCCCGAGGCGCGCGGCGGGCTTCTGCCCCGTCACTCGGCGCGTCGCCCTCGGGAGGCGCTGCGACGGGCGACGGGGACCCGCGCGTCGCCCCCCGTCGCCCGTCGTGGCCTGCGCGCGGCCCGTACAGGCTGCGCGCGGCCCGTACAGGCTGCGCGCGGCCCGTAAGGGCTGCGCCAGGCCCGGACGCGGCCCGTACGGGCTGCGCCAGGCCAGCGCGCGGCCCGTACGGGCTGCGCCAGGCCCGCGCGCGGCCCGTACGGGCTGCGCCAGGCCCGCGCGCGGCCCGTACGGGCTGCGCCAGGCCCGCGCGCGGCTCGGGCCGCCTGTGCGCGGTTCGGGCGGCTGTGCCAGGCCCGTGGGCGGCCCTTTCCTCGCTGCCCCTGCCCTCCCCGCTGTCCCCCGTGCTTCTACTGGCGCCCCACCCCTCCTACAGCCCGTTCTCCTGAATTAGGGTTTGGGGGTGAGGGGTATGGGGGTGAAGCCACTGTGTGCCGTTCCCTGCTCCTCCTCCTCCTCCGTCTCCCTGTGCTGCAGCTGCCGCTGAGGGGGGGTGGACTTGTTGGAGCCGTTGGAGTGGTACTAAGGGGGGGTGAAGGGGGAGTGGAGCTAGCGGTGTAGCAGCGGGTGTGTGAGAGGGGTGTTGGGCAGCTGGGGGAGGTTAAGTGGAGGCAGCAGTCTTGTCGTCAGCAGCACCAGCAGTCCGGAGGCTACAATCTCCGGTAGTCGCCAGTCGCCTGTGGGTCAGTTGCTCGTCTGCCGCTACTTTTAGCCGCGGAGCCAGTTACTCCTGTAGTCCGGGCCTTTGCTTCGGTAGCCACTGAGCCAGCAGCTCGTCTGTGTGTCTGCAGCGTCAGCAGTCGCCTCCCATCTTCTCTCCCCCACAGTCTCTCCTCCTCCTCACTTGCCCTCTGTGACTACCACTAGCTTTGCTCATAATTGTGAACTTTAAACTATTGCTTCTTGAACTTGTGCTCAGAATGTGTGGTGACATTGTGATCCACCCTGAGCTTGTACTGCTTTACTTGCTCTGCTGATTACACCCCACTTTGGCTATGGGGGTGTGTCAGAATATTATGCTCTAGCCTGTAGTGGGGTGCTCTATAGCGAGTACAACCCTTCTAGGGTTTGCTATTTGTATCCTCATTCTTGCTAGTGCAACCCCTCTTCTTCCTACTATTCTAACAAGTGTCCCCTTTTTGTAAAGGCTGGTATTAAACTTAAAATACGGTAAGATAACACTAGGCAGGGAACTGTCACAATAACTGTGCAGGAATGAATGAACTATGAATGAGTTGGGTACAAGTACTAACCCTAAAGTGTTGTACCCCTTGTAGGCTAACCTACTACTAAAGCCTAGAGAGAACACAAACATATAGCTTAATACATCCCCATACGCTAAGTGGGAGATAGCAAACACAACAGACGTTCACAAGACCATTCAAGCAAGAGAACAAATCAAAGCAAAGCTCAGGGTGGATCTCAAGGACACCACACAATATGAGCACAAGCAAGTGGCCACAAGGCCAGTTCACATGCAGAGTTATGATAGCAAGGCAGTACACTGATCACAACCTAGCAAGAGTAAACAAGCAAGTATAAAAATATATATCAGTGTACAACAAGAGCAAGTCAAGCAACCAGCAGGTGAGCCAAAGTGGGCACAAGCCCAAGAGGAGTACAGAAGCGCTGATGATCACCAGACCCAAGGGCCTTGGTGAACACATCAGCAGTGTTGGCCCGCGAGGCCACGTAGGAAAGGCGGAGCTGACGACGCTGCTGCAGCTCACGCGCAAGGAAGTAGCGAAGAGCAATGTGCTTCGTTATGTGCTCCAGTGTCTGCTTGTAAGACAAGGCAAGCATTGCCTTGTTGTCGACGTACAGAACTGGAGGAGAACGAGGCCGCTCCCCCAAGTCGGTCAGCAGGTAGGTCAGTCAGCGTAGCTCCTGTGCAGCCATGGCCCCAGCGTAGATGTCGGCCTCACAGCTGGAACAAAGCAAAGAAGAAGAACGAGTGGACTTCCACGAGACAGAACCAGAGCCAAGACTGAAGGTGTAACCCTGTGACGAATGCTGAGTCGCCTGGTCGTCGGCCCAATAAGCGTTGGAGTGTCCTGTGAGTACCACTGAATCCTCTCCTCCAAGCACTAGCCCCATGCCCGATGTACTGCACAAGTAACGCAGTACCCTCTTCACAGCATCCCAGTGCACCTTTCGGTGTCTACCAGGAGCCACGTAGCGAGCCAGGAGGCTGAGAGGGTACGCGAGGCCAGATCGTGTGCACGTCATCAGGTACATGAGGCAACCCACAAGCTCTGGATACGGACCACTCGGCTCTACAGACTCGTCCGAAGGTGGAGCTGAGAGCGAGTGGCTGGTAGATAGAGGAGTGGGTTGTGGCGAGGGGAACTGGAAGCCGAAGCGCTGAAGGACCTGGTGCACCATGTGTGACTGAGTCAGGGTGATGGTGCGCCGTGCTCTGTCCCGGGTGATCTGCAAGTCAAGATAGCTGCGCAATTCAACCAGGTCAGTGCAGGTGTGTCTCTTCTGCAGCTCCGACTTTACAAGGGTCAGTGCCTTAGTGTCAGCAGTGGCAAAGACGAGGTCGTCGACGTAGACAAGGGCGTCGATCGGCGGCAGCGAAGTGTCGGTGCGTAGAAACAGCGACGGGTCAGTAGTAGAAGGAGCAAACCCAAGAGCCGCAAGTGTAGTCCTCAGTGTGTCGTGCCACTCTCGGGGCGCCTGGCAGAGACCGTAGACTGACCGCCGGAGGCTCCACTAGGTACCTGCAGGAAACGACCCAGTGAAGCTGGGTGGCGGCGCAGCCAGATCTCCTCGTGAAAGCTGCCCTGCAGGAAAGCTATGGAGAATTCGAAGGAGTGCAGCTCGTGTCAGAATCCCAACCACTAGACCATTGGAATAAAAGGGCTTGTTAAGTAGCGGGTCAGTGCGCCCATAACCCCCCAGGACAACGAGCCTGTAACCCTTCCCTAGGATCAATCGGGGATCACAAGTGGACCTCAGACACCCCCCCGCACTGGGATGCCCGAAGTGCACACACTGGGATTCGAACCCGAGACCTTCGCTCTGATACCATGTCATAATCCCAACCACTAGACCATGTCAGAATGTTATGTTTTGTCTAGCCTGCAGTGGGGTACTCAATAGTGAGTACAGCCCAAATTTAGGGTTTGCTATATGTACACAACTGCTTGCTCGTGAAACCCCCTCTTTCTCATTTCTAACTTGCAACTGTTATTCTCAACATGGTATCAGAGCAGGTCG